ATTTGGATTTGCTCCCCGTCGTAAGTGTGACACGAATCGAAGAAAATTTGTTCCCCTTTCTGTTTTTTTTACTATATCGTCTATATGTTCTTTCCAGAGAAGCTGTCTATCAAGAGTAATATCCAAATATTTAACATAACTTTAATTAAAATATAAAACTACATAATTTAGTTTTAATATGTTTGGTTCCTTCTTCAATGGATTTGACTGCATGTGCATTTTCTATTTTAATGTGTTCTTGATAAACGACTATATCATCTGCAAATTGTAAAATTCTTGTGGAGTTTAATTTTTTTACTAGATCAGCAGAATAAATTAAATATAACAACGAACTTAATATTCCTCCTTGAGGTAAACCATCCATCGCTAGCCTTGGACCAATTGTGTTACCACTTAACGATATATAAATTTTTCTGCAGTCATAAAAGATCTCTAAAAGATCGACATGGAAGAAATTTCTTACAGACCACTGTACTACTAACTTTAATGTGTCTTTACACTACAAGTGATACCGCAAAAGTGAAGAAAAAATCTTAAAATTCATATTGTTTTGTAAGAGTTTCAAAATATCCGCCTTTTGATTTGACGTTTTATTTTGAGCAAGTTCGTATTAAAATATTGCTTTTAGGAAAAAAAAGAAGCATTTGGATTTCAGTAAAACAGACTGTCGAACACCAGGACGTCTTTTTCTTCTTTGACTCTTTCCTTAGACAAATCGTAAAAATTGACGTCTCTAAATTACTTCTAAAATATATTTAATCTATTCATTTATCAAAAACTGATGAACAGTGACGAATTATTACTTCTAAATATCATTCAAGTACCTTAAAGTACCTGCCTAAACAAAGTTAACATTTAAAGAGTTTTTTTATCCATAAATAGGTTGTTTATGACATTTTCCTAAAATATTGCTTATTTCGGTGATTTTTCAAATATTTTAATTGATTTTACGACAGCAAAAGTATGCAAAGTATCAAGTCCTCTTGAAATACGTGTCTATTAATCTTTTATAGTATAAAAAAAAATATATCAATTTTACGTTTTTAGGTTCCAAGTTTCAAATAAAAAAAACTCAAGTGTACAAGGTCATGAAATGTTAATTTTGTGTTTACTAACAACTTTTTGATATTTTTGACGTTCAAACTATGTATAAAAAATGAAGTATGTTGCGTATATACATTATTAATTTATAACATTTATAATAACGTGACACCAACTGACAAAAATATTCATAATAACGATTACATAACACACACAAATTAGCCTAGATTGTGAACTAACACAAAAAGTCAAAATTATTCATAATAGCTCTAGAGCCGATATTTTAAGAAAGTCGTGGTAGGAAATATGCATGAAGATAGATAAGGTTCGACGATAAAGTTACATTAGTTAAATACAACAACTTAGAGTCGTACAGTTTGTGATGTTTGATCTTTCTCAAAGAAAGTTAGATTAAAAATCAGGAAGTGTCTTTTAACTAAAAATATAACTAGAGAAACTGATCCGATAAAACAAAAAAAAATACTCATACCTGCTGGTAACATAAAACCAACATATCCAGACACAACTTAACTCATGTATCAATGACAGAATGTTTTAAGTACTACTAAGACACACTACGTTACTGATTACAGTTACTTAGCACGGAAATAAAAACTCAATCAAATTAGATATATACTACAAAGTACAAGAACTCGCCCGTGATATTCATAATTATTGCTGAAACGTACCTAAATTCAGTATAATCATTGATTGATAAAGTCGACAAGTATGGACAAGCGTTCCCGTCCCCATTGTATGTAAATACGATCAAGCCTTGCGCCTATCGAGCCTGTACTATGCACATAAAACGTCAAACTTCAAAAGTCAAAACGTCAAACGTCGCTGTTGAAAATTAGTGTCTGCTGAACGTTACATATTGCATCTTATGTGAGTTTTGATTAAAAACAATTGGACCAATTAAGACTTAAGTAAAGTTTGTTTAGCGGTAAATGCTCTATGACTTCCATTAATACCGAATATGAACGTCCTGGGTTAACCGATAATAGTATAAAAGGCTCGGTTTCAGGTAACAATGGTTTACCTGAGGTACAAGGACTTAACAATGGGTCAAGTTAGATGTCAACTTTACCTAGACTTGATTGCAAATAGATTCTTTTGGATTCATAGTTAATACTTTTTGGAATTTCCAAAATAAAAATTTAAACTTTTTATAAAAAAATTATTACATTATTTATTTAAAATAATATAGAATATAAAATGCAATATACAAATTGTAATTTTGTTTGTGATTGTGATTTTAATTAATAAATTAAAATATCGTCGGACAAGTGTTTAACTGCAGATGGAGAACAAGTACAACAATCGTCATCAGTTTCATAAATTTCCATAGATTCGCCTTAGTACTTTTTTTTAAAACATCTTAACATTTTTATTACTTTGTCTTAGAGTCCAGGTCTCTGACTCATATGTTAGAACTGGGCGTATTATAGTTTTATTTTTGTATTTCTCGATATAATTGTGGATTTAAGGAGCAGATCTGCAGTAGTAATATTTTCAGTGTTAAGGAGCGCTCCCAAGTATATTAATTCATTCACTGCTTCGATGACGTCGTTTTCTATAACAAATGGTCGTAGAATTTGTGTTTACGTGCTTATTTTTATATACATACTTCGTTTTGTTGGTGTTTATTATTAAACCTATTTTTGTAGCTGATTCTTTTAATCCTACATACTCCCCTCGTACAGCGTTTTTCCGTTCTCCCAACAATATTGATACCATCAGCATAGGCAAGGATTTGCACTGAATTATTATACATTGAACCAATGGCTGTGATTTGTAATATACGTATTACTTTTTTTAAAACCAGATTGAACAGTCTACAGAAGAGAGGATCTCTCTGGCGCAGCCCGTTATTTGTTTTAAAAGATTCAGACAGTTCCCCAGAATACGTACTCTACTTTTAACTTTTTCAAGAGTTAGTCGTAGAGTATAGTTATTGATTTTAATGTTTGTATGTTGGTCTGTTTTCCCACATACCATGACCTTGGTTTTACTTTCATTAATTCTCAGATTACGTTTTTCAAGTTTATCTCTACATATTTGGAGGTTTCTCTTAAGTGCGTTCTCGTTTCTTCCAAATATGACGAGGTCATCTGCAAATGCGCACTCCGCTATCTATATCATTTCCAGGTTTCTATGTTCAACAAATATTTTGGATGTTTCTTCTCTGGTTTCCTTCATTACATCATCTAGTACACCTCCTTGTTGTAAGCCATCATTGACTCTAAACTCTTCTGATTCTATATTATCTGTTCTTACTCTGTTTCTTGTGTTCTTGTATAGGCTCATAATAGCTTTTCTGAGTTTGCTGTCTACTTCTCTGTTTCTTAGGCTTTTATCTATTTCGGTTCGCGGGATTCTATCAAATGCTTTTTCGAGGTCTATGAAGGCTTGGTATAGTTCCGTGCTTGTATTTCGTGCATTTGATTTAAAATAAATATATTTAAAACCCAGATGATGACAAATATTGTAGTCAGCGAAGATATATGCGTAGGAACAAGATCCATAGACCAGGTAATGGCCTATAAATACCTAGGTCATGAGATCCGCATACCGCATAGGAAAAGATAAGATAAGATAACCAAACCGTTGAGCTTCTCCATCGTATAAGACTGACTTGGGCAGCCTTCGGCAAGCTGAACCATATTTTCAAATCGTCTGATATACTAATATGCCTTAAAAGAAAAACCTTTAATCAGTGTGTTTTGCCAGTGTTGACTTACGGTGCGGAAACGTTGACCATGACAAGGAGAAACAGTTCAAAAGATCCGTGTGTGTCAAAGGGCGATGGAGCGTGCTATGTAGGGCGTTTCACTACGGGACAAGATCCCAAATCGCCAGCTACGACAAAGAACAGGAGTGGTTGATGTAGTAGAGAGAGCAGCAACACTGAAATGAAACTGGGCAGGTCACGTGGCTCGAATGACAGATAAAAGATGAACAAAGCGGATACTGGAATGGAAGTTAAGAGATGATGCCTACTGAAGTAGGGGTCGTCCACTAACACGTTGTACTGACGATCTAAAACGTTGTCATAGGAATTGGATGCAAGAGGCACAAGATAGAAATAGATGGAAAATTGTTAGGGAGATCTATGTCCAGCAGTGGATAAGCGAAGATTTAATGATGTCTAAAACCAACAATTTATTGTATTATAACATCGTAAATTATTTTCCAAGCAAACAACGTTAATGACAAAAGAGACGAATGATTGGAAAAATGTACATAAAAAATTGTTAGAGTATGAAAAGTCTAGTGACCACATACAGTATTTAAAATTATCGGACGACCTGACACTGAACTGAAGAAACAAATGATAAATGAAAAAATATTGTGGGGATGTACATAAACATGAGGTAGCGACAATCAAATTTATTTCTTTATACTCTTTAGCGTTTCGTGGAAAAATGAAGTGTTTTTTAGTGAAAATAATGGTAATTCTATAGGCTATATTTATCAGAGTTTGATCCATTTTTCGAAACAAATCAAAACACATGTAAGAAATATTTACAACTCACAATAGGAATGAAATAAAGGAAGGAAAGTATTACTATCTAATTATTGGTTTAACACCTGACATATCTCACGAAGCAAGAATGGATGGCAGATAAAATATTGCAGATGATAGAAGAGCGAAGAAAATTAAAAGGTAGAAATGACAACGAATACAAAAAGTTGCATAAGACTATACTAAATGAGACAAAAAGAGCAAAAGAAGCATGGCTGACAGAGAAATGTACTAAAATTAAAACACTACAACGCAAACATGACAATTTTTATATGCATTAAAAAATTAAAGAGGTACAGAACATCAGAAAACCATACAATACAATACAAACTTTTTTCCTACGATATGATCTAATAACGAAATATTACTTTTACCTTTATTTTTAATTTCTGTATTAAATATTCGTTCTTAATTCTATATTCTTTTACAGGGAGGAGATGGAGAAAGTCAATATCAAGTTCCATGACAATGGCACAGTGTCATTTCAGCACAAGAAAATTTTACAATTCGTTCCTGAGCTATCTGTAAATAAGGATCAAAAAATTACAGTCCCAAATATTCCACTATTAGTAAGTATCAGTAAAAAATAGATCTTTAATAAAAAATTATAAATTTTTAATTATTCATAAAGTATTATGAATAAGATGCTTATGACGTGCCACATCGGGTATAGGATCACTACTTTGCAGTAAACTACAATTCAGGAGGCTCGGGCAGAAGTAACCGAAAAGGCTCCTCTCTCCAATATAAGAAGAAGCTAATATTTACCTCGATATATATATAGAAACTACCTAAATACAAAATGTTGAAACTTAAGATAAAATATAATAAAAATTTATACCTATCCTATGCTAAAAATTACTTTTAATTGAATTAATCTGGCTTTGTGATAACACAAGATTATTTTGTTAATATCCATACTTTAATTTATTTCAGAGTTTTTACTTATATATTTTTTTTATTTTTATCTTTGAAAATTATTTGATTACTTTGTCGAAGTTGATGTTGTTTGCTACTTCACGTTTAATCGACAGCATTGCCAAGCTATTTAGCCGGGTCTGGCTCATTGTGGATCGTAAATTAGCTTTTTATTAGTCTTAATTTTGAAAAACTCCTTTTATTGAAAGCAATTAGAGATACATACTATTCCAAAGACATTTGGAACAGATTCCATCAGGTCCATATCACTAAACTGTGTCATCTTCAATATAATCCAATTTCTGGCCTCTTCATTTATTCTTACAGCTTTTATATGGTGGCGAAATCTTTTGATGATATTATACCTTGCTTATGTTGAATATCTTGCTTATCTTGCTTATCGAATTCTGTGTCGCAATCATTGAGTAAATAGTCGACCTGAACGATTTTGAATTTTTGTCTAAAAATGTAGCTTGTCGAAAAATTCAAGCATATATCTTTTAGTTTCTTCTTCTAGAGATAGTCCGGCATCTTTGGCTGTTTCTCCAGGCATTTTCCCTTGAAATCACATCACATTCCCAGATCACATTTCTCCGAAGCAAACTGGAGAACTTTAGTGACCAACTCATACCGACTGCCTTCTAAAAAGACTTTCAAACTTCGGAGTTTTATTTCAAGGCTTAAAAACTCCGTCTTTAAATACTTCTCTGGACTGTTTATTCACGACTACAAGTAATTTGAAATCACAAATATTTGAGAGTAAAATTTCAGCAGAGCCCTGTGTTATATTATATATATATATATATATATATATATATATATATATATATATATATATATATATATATATATATATATATATAATGAACCAGAAGTATTTGCTGAGCATGTAAGGAAGTAAACTTTAAATATTGGGTATGCAGCAATAAAAATGAAAGGTGTACTCTTTTAAATTTTTAATCCAAGCTTTCGGACATTGGTTATGTCCTTCATCAGGGAGAAACTTAATGAGGTTGTCTCATAAATGATTTTATATAAATTGTTGATAAAATTTATCACAGTCTGTTGAGCTAAAACCTATTCCTATATTTAAAATTTTAAAAAATTAATTAACATTCACACAAACTTAATTATTTTTTAAACAAATCAATGTCATAGATTTGTTTAAAAATAATTAAGTTTGTGTGAATGTTAATTAATTTTTAAAATTTTAAATATAGGAATAGGTTTTAGCTCAACAGACTGTGATAAATTTTATCAACAATTTATATAAAATCATTTATGAGACAACCTCATTAAGTTTCTCCCTGATGAAGGACATAACCAATGTCCGAAAGCTTGGATTAAAAATTTAAAAGAGTACACCTTTCATTTTTATTGCTGCATACCCAATATTTAAAGTTTACTTATATATATATATTATATATATATATATATATATATATATATATATATATTGGTGTCACACAGTGTTTCTGCAACTTTAACTAATTTATCTAGCAAAACAACAAAATGAAAGTCAGAATAGATGGACAACATAGAAATAGATAGCGGAATAAGACAAGGGGATTGAACCACATGGTCTTTAATTTGATCATGGATGAAATCATCAAAAGCGTTAAAAAGTGAAAAGGATACAGAATGGGAAAGAAAGAAATCAAAATAGACTGTTATGTAGACGACGTAATATTGATAGACCAAGATGAAGATAGTCTGCAAAGACTGGTCCACAGATTTACCATAAGAGCAAAAGAATTTAATATGACAATCTCATCTCAGAAAAACTAAAACAATAATATTCTTTGTTTCAAGTTAAGAAAATAACATTACGCTTATGGAGATCAGTGTTACCAAAACTCTTAGGCACTCTCTTTTGCACGGATGTCTAAGATATTTCCTTGGCTTAACTTTTAAATTTCCATTTTCAATTAACATTTAACTGTAAAGTCAGATTAACTACTAAAGAACCACAAAACAAAGCCTTATTATCATTATGTAGTCAGAGAACGACATAAAATCGCTGACATACGCACACCGTATTATTTAAAGTTGCAATTAGTAATTAGATATATTATGCATTCCAAGCGGTCCGTTTATTTGCTTTTAAATCTTTAACCCTTTATAGGACAGAATTATTTTTTGGTAATATAAAAAAATTCTTTGCAGATTACAGATAAGGAATGATCCGTTATTGACCTTTCATTCGTATTTTCATTTTATTTTCACTCCTTGTTGTTTTTTTAGGTGGTTGAAATTTCGACCACAGCCTGATTAGGTATGTTGACTTTGGTAAATGTAGTTGTGGTTCCATAATCGACCACAGAAAAAAACACATTAATTAAACATTTTTATTATGAAATCATGGAAAACATTGAATACATAATGCAACCTGGCAATCTGAGCATTTAATACTTGAACGTTTTGGCTTTGCTCTCGTTGAACAGAATGCACAACGTCTTGATGTTCCTTTTTCTGGCATGTGATTGCCAACATCGCTTAGTCTCACCGTGCTTTCAACGCTAACAGAATTAGTGGTTGCTCCGATTTTCTTCAGTTTATTTCTTCCTATTGTTACCTTAGGTCCTGGTCTCTTTCTGTTATAGAAATCACCTATGAGCTCGTTGGCCAATACACGTCTAAAATACAGGTGACTCATTGGTTTTGATTTAATGGACCTCATTTTCATTGTAGTCTTATAAGTTATATATGAATTTACCACTGCTGCATCAATCAAATAGTAAATAATCTTCATATACGATCTTCGAGATTTCCATGAAATTGGATAAGAAGCATGAAGTTGATCGAATAGATCGACTCCACCCATATAGCGATTGTAATCACTTATGACTTTTGGACACTTAATACTTTCTTGTGCACCATTCGGTTTTCTTCGCAAAACTGAAGTAATCTCAAGTGGATTATGCATAGTACTGCCGACTAAAACGCATTTGCGCCCCCCGATCTTTCCACTGAACAACATACATATCATTGGACATGAAATAATCGTGTTCTCCCATTTTCATTGTTTTGTCCTTTCTCATTTATGTTGGAAAGCCTTTACGATTTATTCTAAAAGTTCCACAGCAGAACAAATCATAGGTTAACATTTTCTTAAGAAGAGGAAAACTCGAGAAAAAATTATCGAAATAAATGCAGTAGTTTCCGCCTCTAAGAGACTCAATAATGTCTAATACCGTTTTAGCGCCTAAACCATATTCAGCATGTTGTGATTGAGATTTGCCTTCATATATGCTAAATTTGTGCACGTATCCAGTTTCGGAGCATGCAACGACCCAAACTTTAAAGCCTCTTTTTATGGGCTTTTTCGGCATATATTGTTTGAGAGAACTTCGCCCCTTGAAAGCAACCATACTTTCATCTACCGCAACATTTCTACTTGTATAAAAGTTCTCTTGAAAGCGTTGCTGCAGTTCTGTTATCAAAGGCCTTACTTTGAACAGTTTGTCAAAATTGGGGTTATTTTGATTTCTTTCCATGTTTTCGTTATTGTTTAGATGGAGAAAACGAAGAATTTTTAAGAATCGTTTTTGCGTAAAAATTTGCGAAACTCTTGGCACGTGCATGTTAATATCAGTTGACCAATAATGTCTCAAACTAGGTAGTTTATGAAACTCCATGATTATAAGAACCCCTAGAAATGCTTTCAGTTCTTCCTCAGTTAGGTCGAGATTATTATGATTTTGTTGTTGAGCATAGAGATTTGCCTGTGTAATTATATTAGCCATAATATCTTTGCTCATGAACAAAGAAAACACGTCGAATGGTGAATTTATATTGACCGGTTTTGCTGGGCCAAATGGTCTGGTAAACGGCGCATTCGAATATTTTTGTGCATCAGAAGCGTTCTTTCTCCATTTATATGTATCATCGCACTTTACTGTGTTCTCTTGGTTCTCTTCTATTTCGTCTTCGCCTGAGGAAGTATCGACGTCGTCAAAAATGCGATTTGTTCTTACCTGAGGGTGGAAAGCTATATCATCCATTGAGTCATCTGAATCAACATCAAGAAATTCAACCTTGTCATCATTAGACAATGAAGTAATAGTCGCGTTGGATGCAACCGACATTCGGTTGGAAATAGAAAGATTATCTTCTGCATCAGAATCACCCTCAAAATCTGAATTTATGGCTTGTTGATATGGAATACCATCTATGTAATCAAATAAATCATCCTGAGTCATATTTTGTAAATTTTCAAGTATATTGCGGTATTCCATTTTACTGCAAAAGATACGTACATTGTTGTATACAAATACTTGAAAAATTTAATTACTTGATCTACCGCACAGCAATTTAATTCTTGGAAATATTATTCAAGTAAGTCAGATTTACGTAAAAAAGAATATAATTGTATAGATTTAAAATAAACAAGAGTAAAAATACATTTCAATAGAACAATTGTAAAATCAGCATGTGCTACTTTGAGGTTATGTTTAGTAAATCAAGATATATCATCTTAGCGCCAATAAAATCTGAATAGATAATAAAAGACCATAATACTGTGATGTGTTACCTTGAGTTTGATCTTGATCATAAATCTTTTGTAAATTATTTTTCTAACTTTTACAAACGGCAAAAACCGGTGATCAAGTTCAACGGTAACTTACAGAATATGATGGGTTGTGGTTGGCGAATCGACCACATTGCTGCCACGTTGCCGTATTTTGTTCTGTGGTGTTCATTTTGGGTACAATTCATTTACAAACACTGAATTTGCACTTCGGTAACTTTTCATGTCAATTACTAGCTCATAAGTATTAATAAGAGAAGTGGTCGAAATATCGACCACAGACCTATAAAGGGTTTTAATAACCGGCAAAAGCATGATTTAACTAAGCAATATTTTCTACTGATTCCTATGATTCATGACATTTGGTATTCTCACCGAAAAACAAATAAACTGTCGTTACTATAATTAAAATAAGATAAAATAAAATTATCTTTTGTACATACTATTTGTTTAATTAAAATCATTTTCCCTACTCTTCATCTCTTGTTTCAAATGAGCATTGTCTAGCTATAGAGACCTAAACAAAGAAGTGAGAGATCAAGTACAAAAAGCAAATAGACTGACAGGATGTCTTAATAACACTATATAGCAAAACAGACATAGTAACACTGAGATGAAGTCAAGAATTTATAAAGCCAGTAAAAAGAACAATAATGACATATGCCTCAGAAACAAGACCCGACACAGCCACAATGCAAAGGCTACTGGAAACTGCAGAGATGAGAGTACTGAGAAGAATTACAGGAAGTACGCTGAGAGATTGAAAGAGAAGTGAAGGCATTAGAAGAAAATGTAACGTACATTATAAATGAATGGACACCAATCGGCAGAAGAAGTATCGAACGACCGCGCAAAAGATGGAGGACAACTTGCATTAAAATCCCCCATCTATGTGGAGAGGACGGGAAGAAATTATAAACATTTTTTTTTCCTTGATCATTACTTGGATATCCGCATGGATGCCTGACATAGTGAATTGCAACATCATAGCGTTGACTCCTGCACAATTGTAGATCCAATATATCCTTTTCCAATGCATTTATAATATCATTTTACTAATTTTTTATAAAATATAACATAAAGTAAATAACTATTAGAACTATTTTATATTATGTATCAAAGCATTTTTTTATATGTTAAATTTTTTTGGCTATTTCTTAATTTTTATTTTATATTGTTTACGCCATTTTGGGGGCCCCACATATCAAAGGCCTAGGGCGGACCACCCCGCCCCATATATTTACGCCACTGCTACTTTGTGTTTCTACACACTCGCTTGGAACTCGAAATGTTCCAGGATTGTTTTGCATAAATTTTGAAGTTTATTATTTTTCCGGTTAACTTTGCGAAATGTGTCTTGAGTTTATAGCTGCATCTAATTCGAATATAAAATATGAAATTACCCACATAATACTATATATTCTTAGTATGTTTTTTATTGCCATAAGTATATCAATAAATTCTCAACAACATTCTCAAGTACAATGTTTTAGAAGCAGTTTGTTATAACCAGTGGCGAAGCCGCCCAAAATTCGTACAATTTTTCTAAATTTTTTTAATAATGTATCTATTCACAATTAATGATAGTATATCACTATTATTACGTATATCACTACGTAATGTATTATAATGTAAAAAAATTACACACTGAACTGTCAATCCATCTTTTTTTAATAGGTATATTCAATAAAAGCGTGTTCTTCCGTTTAGCACTCATGGTCATTTCTTTAGGCACTTAGGATTACTAATGACCTATTTTACTTTTTATTTTTTATTGGTCTGGTTATTTTCTTCTTTAGATTTCATATCCTCACTGGAGTTTGGGTATTAAGACAAGCTTGATCCTATTTGCAGCTTCTGTAAATAATTGGTTTTTTTAAGTGTTTCTTCATTCTTTTTCTAGCTGTTATGCAACTATTTATAGTATAGTAGCGCATATTTAGATGTGTCACACAACTAAGATATTCATATTTTTTTTTTCCTTTTTAAGACTGTTTCTTCATCTTCCTGAAATCCGCGATACAATTCTGTATTCGTAATTCTGTCAGTCAGGCAACAAAACGACAAATTGTTTAATGTGTTAATGTTTTGTACTTTGGGAACGATTTCAAAAGTAAAAATCTAAATAAACTTATTTTAAAGTAAAATTGTAACTTATTGCCAATATAAATAGTCAATTTCATTAAGATGACACAAGAAAATGGCTTTAGAACAATGTATTCTTTTTAATTTTAGACTTTGTCGACAATGTCCAACAACCTAGGCTACTTTGTCCAGAAAGGTATATCGGTGATGTTAAGCATTGGTAGTTACAAACCTTTTATCAGTATTACTGCAGATGAACTAGTTTTTGGTTACGATGACAAATTGGTTTCTTTGGCTCATCAGTTTTATCCGAAGTACAAAAGACCGGCAGAGAAAATGGGATTATTGATTAACGTAAGTGATAATGAACATTTTAAATATATTTCTCAAAATACTGGCTGGGTAAAGATCATACTGTTACGTGTTTCTTTGGATTCAGAGATTAAGCGAAGCAAACGTGGTTTATTTTAAACCATGTTTGCTTCACTTAACTTCACTAAAACTTTATTTTATCTACAAAAAACAAACTTAAACTACAATTTATCATATATGTTAATTACATTAATAATTATCGCTCACAATTCACATAGATATCGCTTACAATACGATTCGCTGATACTAATCATCAGATTTCGCCTCAGCAGTCGATGGGCATTAAAACATCGACTATACCTATAGCATAACCGAAGACGAAAACGATAAAAACAACGCGTGGAATATTTTTGGCAGTAAAAGATCTTGCTAATCATGGGTCTCACATCATTTGCTAATCACAAATCTTCAGAGAAGCACTGGGAGAAGTTTCGGAGGGTATCAAAGTAAACGGAGAGGTAATCAATAATATTAAATATGCTGACGACACAGTTATTATCGCAAATGACTGCAACGAGCTTTAAAGACTCATGCAAAGCATACACCCAGCAAGTCAAGAATATCGTTTAGAACTCAATACAACCAAAACTAAATGCATGCTCATCAGCAGAACACAACAACCTCCGATGCAATTGACATTAAACAACCGAAAAATAGAACAAGTGGAGACATACACATACCTTGGAACCACAGTCAACACAAAATGGGACCAGTCAAGAAATAAGAATTGAAAAAGCGCAAAACGCGTTTAACATTAATATGAAAAAGTGGTTCACAAGCAAAATCTCAATGGAAGTAAAATTAAGACTGGTCAAGTGTTACGTCTTCCCGGTCTTGTTCCATGGAGCAGAGGCATGGACCACAACGGAAGCCACCCTGAAGAAACTAGAATCTTTTGAGCTGTGGATATATCGCCGTATTCTTCGGATATCCTGGACAGACCACATCACTAACGTGGAAGTAATGCAAAGAATAGGCAAAAGCAAAGAAATAATCTTCACCGTAAAGAAACGGAACCTTGAGTACTTCGGACATGTCATGAGGCATACTAAGTATCAGCTGCTACAGTTAATAGTCCAAGGAAGAATCGACAGTAGGAGGGGACCGGGAAGAAGACGACACTCATGGATGCACAACCTGCGACAATGGATCGGACTAACATCGACCGAACTGTTCAGAGGTGCCGTAAACAAAGTCAAAATAGCCTTGTTAATAGCCAACGTCCGAAACGGATAGGGCAAAGGAAGAAGAAGAATCATGGGTCACACAACAATATATTTACTAAACCTTAATAATTTTGAGAGCTTTTGCTATCAGGATAAGACAGTGAGGACCCAAGAAAAAAGCTTAACTAATCAAATTATTATATCTTATGGAGAAACGAAAACAGTAAATCAGAAAACATAATCAAGGTTGGAAATACAAAAAAGTAAACAGTGAAAGAAGGAAAATAAGAACAAAGTCAAAATGCTTTTTTTAAGTGCTGTAGGAACAATGATCAGAAACGCGATACATTTCATCTTCACAAAGAGACCCAAAAAGCAGAAGGACATGAAAAACAAATGACATGTTATGATTCAGATGATAGAGATGGATATTTTATATTTGATAATAAAAAAAAACTTATAAACCTTATTAAAACAACTAATAAAAGGAAATAATTCCTGTAGTGGGCTATATATTATAGTTTAAAATCAGTAAACTAATTTTCGAAACCAAATTCAGATTTTTACTTTAATCTGTGCCTTCATGATCAGCATCAGAACGTTTTTATGTCGTCTAACATAAATAGTGTCTAACATAACTAACAAACATAATATATATAGAAAATATAATTACAGTAGTGGGGCTACGGTATACGAGGACCAAAAAGCCACGACAAAATGAAATATCCCCACTACTGGGCCAAACAAAAAAATGTATTAGTAAATATATAATCTTAGTCCATGGGAGAAGCGAAATCTTAACACTAAGGAAAGTTACTAGAGTTAAATCCTAGATAGGTAAGGTAGGGAATATAAATACTAAAAAACCGTGACGGTTATACAAAAGAAACTACCTTACCTAACAAATATACGACTAATATGTGTCGAAGCAGCTAAACACCAGATCTATGTGTAAGTGTTGATGAGTATGGCCAACAGACTCGGAAAGATTATATATATATATATATATATATATATATATATATATATATATATATATATATATATATATATATATATATATATATATAGTTATATATAGTTATATATATATATATATATATATATATATATATATATATATATATATAATTTTAAAAACCCTGATACATAAATGTCTTCCCTTCCCTTTTAAAAACCGCTATACAAAATCATGAACCCCTTCCCTAACAATGAATCTAATTTAATTAGTTAATAACCATTTACCTAACTTCTTATAGATGATAAGTCCTGGTTAAGTCCCCTTAAGACTCTGGCGGTCCTTGGGCTCAGAAAAAGCAAATGAAGGAGAACGCTGTGGTTCTGGAGACAATCGTTTCCTGGTAACCAATGGATTGAAGAAGTGGTTGGTTAAACTAATCCTAATATTAATCGTTATCCTAATCGGGTGAAATCTACACAAAAATAACATTTAGAGAAACATCAAGGCACCCAAAGATGACTATCAACACATACTCTTACATCGAATTACCACAATAAACAAACATTTTATTTCATCAGCTTACTGTCATCCTGTCTATTTATTGTGTCTGCGCGTTTAAAGAATATCTAGTAAATTAGGCATGAAAGTTTTTATACCGAGTAAGTATACAAAAAAAAACAGAAAAACCCTAATTAGGTGTCTGATAAATTTACGATCTAAGCTCAAAGCCACATGATACATATTTCAAAAGAAAATGAAAATATCAATAAAATGATAGGCCTATAAAATTAAATAATTTAATTGCTCACCTGGGTTTTAAATAACCATTTCGGCAGATTTGGAAGCCGGGTTTTTCAATCAAGATTCTTTATCATATTATGTTGTTCCAATTAAGTTTTTCAATCAAGATTCTTTATCATATTATGTTGTTCCAATTCCTCCCTTGATGTTCGGAGAAAATATTAAATCCAATCCCAGATTTTCTACCCGATTTTAAGACGAAAAATGCCGGTAAAAGCTTGGAGAAATAAACCTCGCTGTGTGAGTTGCTGGCCAAAACTCATTTTAGACGAACGCCTCTTGACCACTTTAGTTGTTACACTTGCGCATCGTATCGTCTATTGCCCATAAACGTTTTATAAACGGGATTCTGAGGGGTTTAGAATTTTAATAATTAATTATATTAATTAATTATAGGTTAGCAGTTGTGACTGCTACAAACTAGCGACAGCAGATGAATAGAGAGAATAACCAAATGGAGCCCCATAGGAAGAAGGAAAAGAGGACGATCCCGAAGATCCTGAAGGAACGAAGTAGTCGACGCCATGTTTAAGAAAGGCTTAAACGATGGAGAATGTGGGCAACAAAAAAAGATGGAAACGGTTGAGCGAGGGAAGGCAGGGAATACTGTAGAATCCCTGAATATATATGATATTTTAAATCTTTTAACATTAAGGAAACGCACTGAAACCTACTCGAGACGAGGACTACTCATCCTAGGAAAGATACCAGTCAAAAATACATAGAATAGTTATTTCATGATAACCGACCCATTCCTTATAGTATTTAAGTATGTTACAGTAATTTTTATTTTATTTTTAGCGTAACGGTACTCTGCCAGAAGTTCACAATATTTATACGGGTACAACAGGGATGCACGAATTTGGAATCATCGACAAACTTAACGGGAAAAATAGTCTAACGTACTGGGAAGACGCCCCTTGTAACGATTTGCGATCCAGTGAGGGGTCTTTCTTTCCACCGAGATATTATACGAACGAAGATATTGTTTACCTTTACGATAAAGATATCTGCAGAACTCTTCCTTTGAAGTACAGAAAAGCTGTTTCCAAGCATGGTAAGTTGTAACGATAATATTTTGCCTACCACAGGGGGCATTAATACGGGAGATAGAAAATTGGGGGAAAAACTATTGGGGGTGGAGATAGGGCAAGCAAAATAATCGCTACTGATGCGAACGGCACTCAGGGTTTCGTAGGAGAGCTGGGGTCGTGGATAAGTAAAAGATAAAGGGATTAGAATGGGGCAACTACAAGAAAATGAAATAAAGGGGTCATTAATATCATGGGATAAACAAAATAAAAATAAACAAGAAACACCTCAAGGAATTTAATATAGGGCGCCTTGAGGTGCCCACTTGAGGTGCCTAATTATACCTATCACAACCACTGGTTGTAACTAGGGAAATAATTAGAAAACAAATCAAAACATAAAAAACATATCTTTTTCAAATAAGAATCAAAAAAGGTTTGGCTCAAAAAAATAAATAAAAAGTTAAGACAACAAAATTTAACATTTATTTATGTGTCACCACAAACAGTTACAAAATGGAGAAATACAAAATACAAAAACTTACGTGTCATCCGCTTACAAACTCCAGGAGTTGGAGATACTACATAAAACTACAAATTTATATGGAGGTTAACCTTGTTTAAAAATAAAACAAACTAATAACCAAAAAAAATAATAAAAAACGAGTTGTCACAAATTAACATTAAATTAAAAAAAAAACTAAACACACAAATTGACAGCTCAACTCAAAACCTAAAATTTACAATTTTAAATGTCAACGAAAGCAATTATTTAATTCAAAACAAATTGTCTGTCTTTACTTTTAAATTTGATCAAAAAGTTACCTGGATTTTCACTAACAAAATGCACTAGAATTTGTGGAACCAGACGCCACTGGAATATCCGAAACCATAACTGGGACTGAGGGCTTTATTCTCTGTGCAATGAACACAACTATCTATCTCCATATCTTCATATCTCGAACAAATCTATCTCCATACTGCCAAAAGCCTTGGATGATAACCAAGGAGGAACAAAACGAGGATGGAATTGACGATTCTTCTATTCCTCACTCAAACATTTACTGAACCATTAACTGCACACTGCTACACATTTTCTTCATAAAAAAAGACGAACACACGTCTTCATAAAAAAACACAAACAACGAGGAACATTTCGAATTTGAAGTCAAATTCGGACATAACGTTGACCGCTTTTCACCGCGGCTCCAACGATAGTGACGAAATTATCTATTAAAATTGATCGCATAACTTGAAAATAAACAAACACTTGACATAGCAAAACTAACGAAACGGCGTACATATCCTTTTGCGACGCATAAACTTGAAAAGAAATTGCCGAAGTATATAATAATAAACAACTTTCAAATGGTTTTATTACTCGGCGACGAAACACTTTTGGGTACTTTGAAAGATACGAACTAACAACACGGAAAAATTCTTCGTTTCATTTTTTTTTAAATATGTAAGGAGTTTTTAATATATTTTATTATACGAGGAGGTTTCAATATACTCAAAAGAATCAATGAAATTGAAAATGCTACAAAGTGGTAAAAGTAAATTAGATAAGTTAAATTTAAACATATATTTACTGATTTGGCACACTTAAAACGTTGGTATTTTACAAAATATTGTACCTACATGAAAAACAAAAAATAATGTTTTTCATTTAGGTTTAGAAAATAATAAACGGGTACTATGGCCCACTAAAACTGTCGTCCGATGCTCGATCAGAATGTAACATTATGAGCTTCATGACTGTACAGTTCGATCTGAAACGCACGTTGCTAATGGACAGGACTTGAAATTCCCTAACCTAACCTAACCTAACCTAACCTAACCTAACTCAACACTAGAAAAATATAATATCTACAAGTAAACTACAAAAACAGGATAAAATGAAGCACTTTTGAAAGAATAGTCAGAGAAAACATATTCAATATTTTATAAATAAACAGAGATAAACAATTTTATCAAAAAGTAGTACTACAACTGAAGAGACACTAACCACTAGAGGTAGAGATTCAAGAATATTAGCGAAAATTTGCAAGTATGCAAAACGGGGCAAATTGGTTAAAAAGAAACTACTGCAACACCGAAATCAGAGTTAAAAAATAACTAAACTTAAATAAACAAGTAAAGCCGAAGATACACATGTCTGTTGTTTGGGGACAGTAGCACCAGCTGCTGTCCCCAAACTGGTAAGTGTGTACGTTAACTGGCATGTTAGCTAATCGCAAAGAATTTAGCCGGATACACACATGCCAGTAAATTGGGAAAGTAGCTGGCATAAGCCAGTAACTGGCAAGCGCCAAACAAATTTGCTAGTATTTGGCATGTCAGTATCTCGCTTGCCTATAATGGCAAGGCGAAAAAGCAGGGTAGATTTTTACACATGCCAGCACTAGTAAACAACTGAGTGGTTTTCATCTGAAACTAAAGTACTTGTTTATAATTAAAAGTTTTTGAGTTTCTAAGAAAAAAAGGGGATCCATGGAAGGTATTCGGAATGAATTTAACAAGCAAATATTGCTAATGACCGCAGATATTGTTAGAAATTTAATAATGAATTAGTAGCGGAACACAAAAAAAACAAAAAATTTGGGTGAGAAATTGGATTGGTAGGCGACAAAATTCAAAAGACACTCCGATTCTCTATATAAAGCAATAAATTTGATGGTTTTTTCATTATCCCAACCAAACATTTTTTAAATTAACAAGTTTAAAAATAAAACGATTAATTTTTATCACCAATCATGGACGTACGTCCATGTCACCAATACACCAAAATCTGACAATTCTCTGCTACTGGCATGCCCGTAGCGGTAGCGCGCGTTCACACATGCCACTGACACTCCCACGCATGCGCCTTGCATCTCACAGCATGCTACTTGCAAGAAAAATCAAATTTTTTGCGATTAGCTAGCATGCCAGGTACTATCATGCCAGTTAACATACACACATGCTAGTTTGGGGACAGTAGCTGGTGCTTGCTATGTACTGGTATGCCATTGTGCTAGTAACAGGCATGTGTATCTCCGGCTTTAGATTTTTCTTGCTATACCCTGGCCGCTTAAAAGATGGAATCCAAGGTCGCATGGTCAGTCACTGCACGCATCGATAGGCGGTCAAAACTAGATTTTCTGAGAGACTGTATATACCGTCATTATTAATTTGTGTTTTACTTTCGCTAGCTGGTGAATTTTGTTGGCAGTGTGAAAAATTGTTTGTAGAGTTCACGCGTACGTATATTAATTTGTATTAATTATTGTCTGAGTTAGGTTTATTTGCGTGCCATTCACGTGATCATTAGAGATGTGTAGTTCACCATCGAAATAGTTCAAATAAACGATTCTTTCAACTGAACTAATTGAACTAGTTCATTAATTTTCATTGAACTAGTTCACTGCGAACGCTTTGCATTATAAATTGTGTCTCAACTTCTAAAGAAGAAAATAATGAATGAATGAGATCATATATGTATTATTGTGTGAATGGGATGGGTTGATAAATACAAATACCTAGGAACCTGGATTTCAGACAATATTGATCAAACAATAAGAGCCAGGATAGAAATATCAAGAAATGCATTTGTAAGAATGAAAACAATTCTCTGCAACAAAGACCTTTTTGGGATTGATTAAGAAAATAAATTATTATAAAGAAAAACTAACTAATCACATAATAATGTAAAACATTTAAACCTAAACATATGAGCGAAAGAAATGGTTCCGAATCCGAACTACTTGTACGCTGTACGGTAGTGGAAGACTGACTGAAAACCGAAGAACAGCGCCGAGCTTGTGTGACGATTGAGACGAGACATCTGGCAACCAGTTATGTTAGTGTTGGATTTTGATTTCGGTCCTACAAATAGTTCTTTCGCGAACTAGTTCACTGAACTAGTTCATTTTTGTGAAATAGTTCTCTTAAACTAGTTCGTCTAAAAGAACTAATAAGCACACCTCTAGTGATCATTCCATCTTTTCAGCGGCTCAACTATTGGGACCGTGCAAGTTCGGAACAGCGACAGCTGGTGTCGTAAACCAGCAAAATTTACTGCGCTTTTATGTTAGATCGAGGTAACCGGATAACTGTCAAGGACGTGGCCCCAAAAAAGAATAAGAAGAAAAAGTAAGATTGAGGTTATGTCGGTATGTTATTAAAAGGTAAACGTTGATGTAGCGTAAATACAAATAAATATATTATTGCATTACAGCATTACTGTTAATATGGATTCAATAATAAAAACTGGATTTGAGAAAGTAAATCACCAAATAACTTTTCAACCAAGCACTGAGTCAAAGGGAAAAGCTTTAGTAGTGGCAAATGTCAAAAAATAATGGAAGAATTAAGAAAAATAAATTACCATAAATAATGGCAATGCATAAATTAGCAGGTTAAGCCCATGATATCATCATATTGGTTTGAACAATTAATTCTTTCCCTGTAAACTTTTGGACAGCGAATATATCTTAATGCATCTTCAGAAAAACTTTAACTTGATGCATTCTTGTAAACTTCTAAAAAATAAAATTTAAACATTAAACTTGATTTTTGGGTTAAAATGAACTTTAAGTGAGTGTTATGAAACTAAAATTTACACTTAAAAGTGAACTTTTATTTATTATTTATTTCAAACTGACTTTAAAATCGGGCGCAAGAATAATGCATAATTTGGTTATGTTATTTATGCTTTTTTATGATATAAATCCACTTTTCTCTTTGTAGTAGCTTTGTGCTTCGAAGTTGGAAACGAATAAAACTTAAATTGACAATTTTTTGTTGTATTTTTACATTTTATAACACAGCATTTCCTAAATTCCATTTTCTTCAGAGACAGAAGGTGTAAATGTAAATAAACAAAACGAATATGAAATATGACAATTGACAATATGAATTTATGAAATCTATGAAATGTGCACTAAAAAATGCAAAATTTCTCCGCTACTCGCGCACGTTCGTTTCTCGTATCCCCTCCAAGTACTTGCACGTCGCCAATAGTAGCATGCTGTAAGATGCAAGGCGCATGCGTGGGGAGTGTCACTGGCATGTGTGAACGCGCGCTACCGCTACGGACACGCCAGTAGCTAGCAGAGAAGTGTCAGATTTGGGTTATTCGTGATAAAAATTAATCGTTTTATTTTTAAACTTGTTAATTTAAAAAATGTTTTGTTGGGGTGATGAAAAAACCATTAAATTTATTGCCATATATATATATATATATATATATATATATATATATATATATATATATATATATATATATATATATATATATATATGTATATATATATAATATAGAATTGGAGTGGAGTGGAAATAACACAGCCCGTGATAATGCTTACACACCCAAATCCCCGATTTTTCTCTTTTTTGAGTTTCGCTTCAGATTTAGTATTAAATATGTAATAAAAGTATGCAATATTTGCTTGTTTAATTAATTCCGAATACCTTATTAATTACAAAACAAGTAGGTACTTATGAAAACCACTCGATTGTTTACTAGCACTGGCATGTGTAAAAATTGACCCTGATTTTTCGCCCTGCCAGTATAGGCAAGCGAGCTACTGGCATGCAAATTACTAGCAAATGTGTTTTGTGCTTGCCAGTTACTAGCCTATGCGAGCAACTGGCATGCCAGCTACTTTCCCAACTTACTGGCATGTGTGTACCCGGCTTAATTTAGAAAACGTGGAAATTCTACGAAACGGTAAAAAAATCGTCAATCCCCCCTCCAACACGGATATCAAGGTATGGTTTATGCAACCGAAAAAGAAGCGGAAACTTATTTAATATTTTCAAAAACATTAATATTGACGTGCAATATTCATTAAGGTGTACAATTTGTTTTTAACTTATCTTACATCCTGATTATTTGACTAGAGACTAACATTAAAAATTATTTTTAGGTATCACGGCCGGCTTGTATACTCCACCGGACAATATATTTGAATCTGTAGAAAAGAACTCCGACAATAAATGTTATTGCCCAGGAAACGAATTTTGTCCTCCTAAGGGATTGCAGAATATCAGTCCTTGTCAATTCGGTAAGCATTTTAAAATATGTATGACATTTTAAATAATACGTTAAAAAGAGTTAAACTCAATAAAGGTAGCAGCTTAGCAAAGAAGCTATTTAACAGCATTAACAAATCAGGCATCATACCGAAAGAATTGCTATTAAATACAATACTTTTAGTTTTCTGTGTCCGAAAAACCATAGTTTCTGAGCCCAGTAGTGGACTGTATCCTATGCTAGTTGGTTGCCTGTCCATAACTCCTCGAGAGTGCATCTATGCGGGGTGCATCTATCATGCAGTTTGAGCAGGGAGCTCGATCATGTTCTGTATTATTCTGTGGTCACATTGGTCATCGATACCGTTCAGCAGACCCCATTTAATAAGGTTTGACTTGGTCGGTTCAGTTTAGCATGCGTGACGTCTACCACTCGGTTAAAATCCCGTTTTGTGCAGTTTCTGTTAATTGATAATAGGGTGGTGGTTCGTCTAGCAAGGCGCTAAGGAAACGCTTTCTTGATTTCAGTTTGCCAGGATATAGTTCGTGACCAAAAAGGGGCTGAAGTTTGCCAAGAAGCCTGAAGTTTTGATAGAGATTTCATACAGAATCTGCAAGTTTTTCTAAAACTGACATTGACTTTCTAGGTGTGTACGAATCTCTTCCATTTCGAACATGCGTATATCGCCGTTGAGAAGTATAACGCCTGTGCTGTTGATCAAAGTACTGTGTGTACATTTACCTTCTTTCGGATGTTTTCACAGTAGAACCTGCATGTTAATAAGCTGTCTAATGTGACTTCGACTAACTGTGCTTAGATTTGGTTTAGTGAATTTTCTTTTTAATACTTGGACATCAAAATCAGGCCAGCTTTCAATGTTTGTTCGACCTCTTCAAAGCTCAAACCTTGGTCTGTAACGCCTAGGTCGTCTGCGTATAAGAAGTTTCTAGTCAACGTTGTTGTTGGTTGATGATTGGTATATAATTTGAAAAGTAAAGGTGCTAGTACGCTACTCTGAGCCAAGCCGTTTGTTTGGGTTTACCAGTGACTTTTTTTCCCGCAAGACTCACGTAGAATTGTCTATTTTGCACTAGTAATTCCACTATTTTGACGAGTTGGTAGTCCTCAAGAATGGAGTAGGCTTTCTTCAGCAGGTTTCTGTACAAGAGACATCTGAATCGTGAACAACATTTACTATGAAGAAGAAGCTACAGTGAAAATAAATAGCTCTGTATCAGATAAAATAAGGATCAATATCAGTGGCGGCTCGTGACATCTGCTATAGGGTGTGCTGCATGAACCACGGTCAATATAAAATAATAGAAATAGAATAACATACGAAAACAAAAACAATAAAATTAGCTTTAATACTAATTAATAGTAACTAATAACGACATGCTATAAAAATCTGATTAACTTACATTTATTGCATTTTTCTAAATTGGAAATTAATACGCCGGTCCTTTTTTGTCGCAAACTTTTCGATTACTTTATCGTTAAAGTTCGGTATTGAAGCGATGAACTTTTTTTCTATCGAGAGTGTGGAAAGGGCTGTTAATCTGTCTTCGCACATTGAATTTCTTAAAAATGTTTTGATCCGTTTTAAAGTTGAAAAACTACGTTCAGCTTCTGCTGTGGTCATTGGCGTAGTCACCAGAATTTGTATCAACTTTTTGGTTTCTGTTAATGTGTCCTCTAAATTATTAGAAATTATAAATTTTAGTAAAGGCACTGCACCTTTTAATGTTCTACACTCGATATTGGAATACAAAACTGACAGTTCTGTTCGCAAACGGTTTTTATCAAAGAAGTTATAAGCTGTACAAGTTAAATCCAATTCATTTTCAGGAAACTTATTATTATATTTTTCGAAATGTTCTGAAGATAAAAGTATTGCGGCAACTAGATGATTTGTATATGCAAACCGTTCTTTTGCATTGTTTATAATAACATCACAAACTTCTAGACAGGCAATACGGTGATCCTGTTGGCTGTTATTTGGGCGTTTCCTTTTTTGGACACTAGGCGCCGCATTTAAATTTGAAGCTTGATGTATGATAGGGTCTATTTTATTTCGGACATTGTTAATACTTTGCTCAAAAACATGTATAGCTTTCTGTGCTTCGGTTGGGTCCATGTTCTTTTTTTGAAGATTATTGTACAAAACGTCAACATGTGGCATAATATAATGAAAAACAGTCAGCCAGAAAGTAAAATTTTGATCTTCCAGAATACGTCTAAGTCCTCTTGCTTCCTTGGAAGTAATAGCATTTGACTCTTCTTCTAGTTGCTCCATACACTCAATAATAAAGTCTCTATATTCGTAAACGACATTTACTGTACGAATATTGAAATTCCAGCGTGTAGGGATTGAACGAGGAATATTTTTTCCAACTATTTGATTTAAGACAGCTATTCTTTGAGGTGAATGACTAAAAAATCCAGGTATATCATGTAAATCTCCAAAAAATACGCGTACTTGGGAATTAATAGAACATGCTCTTGACATTATTAGATTCAATTGATGGGCGTAACAGTGCACAAAATGAGCAGTTTCATATTTTCTCTTAATTATTGTTTGCACTCCGCCATGTATCCCACTCATAACAGCTGCTCCGTCATAACTTTGTGCAATGAGCTTATTTTTGTTATTCTTTAATATTGGGTCTAAAACATTCAAAATTGTGTTAGCTAAGGTTTCAGCATCATGTTTTTCTGGAAGCAAAAAAGTCCAAAACCTTTCAACTGGAGCACCGTTTTTTACATAACGAAAAACAATGACCATTTGAAATTTCATAGAAACATCCGTTGTCTCATCAGCTATCACTGCTAAAAATGGGGCTTCATTGATTTCGTTTAAAATCTCCTCAGCGTATACTTCTAGCATGCAATCCAAAATATCATTTTGTATTGTTTTTGAGGTACCTTTGAAAATTGTCGCATTTGTAAGGTGTTCACTAAGTGTTTTATCAAGTTCAGCAGAAAAATTCACTAAACCACGAAAAATTCCAGGGTTATCTGATGTTTCAGATTCATCGTGTCCTCGTAAGGCGAGCTCAAAAGCCCCACAGAATTTTATACAGTCAATTATTTTTGACAAAACATACCTGTTTTTCGTCACCTCTTCATTGTGTTTTTGTATATTTATCCAATAAGCAGAGTCAAGTTGGGCCTGTATATTAAGTTTCCCAAATAATGCAAATCGCATTTCATTGTTCATATGAGTTTGCGTGTTTTCATGCTTCTTTATTTTTTCACTTAAATGCACTAGATCCCGCACTCCTGTCTCGCGCCACAATTTTTCCTCTTTATCTGCGCCGAATAATGCACACGGAAAACAGAAAAAAGCATTTTTTTCGGAACATCCACAAATCCACTGATTTCGTAGATACATGTCTTTATTAAATTTACGCGTATATGTTTTTCCACGGCTTTTACCGGACACTTCAATATTAAGATCAGGCATAGGACGGCCACGTTCTTTTATAATCAACTGTTGTTGATAGTGAAGTTTTTGAAATTTATTTACACCTAATTTAAATTGAAACTCCATTGTTTTAAACACGCTCGAACAAAACAAATTAAACAAAATTGTAACCTAAGAATTTCTAAACACGGCACAGATGCAACGGTCACGAATAACTGTCGTGAATTGCAGCTCGCAAACACATTTCCGAGGCCGTTAATCAGCCGATTGCCGAAGCACATCGGCTAAGATCGCCGTTTGCCTAATAAATGCATTTTACCGCTGCCAGTGTTTCGGTTGTTATCGACGCGGCTTCACTGGAGCAGCAAATACGTAAAAAGATTGCTTCACTGGAGCACCAAATACGTAAAAAAATTATACGGTTTCACTAGAGGAGTAAATACGTAAAAAAAATAATATTAATCATCGTTGTTGGTGAATTATTATTAACAGTTTATGTTTAATATGATAATATGGCAGATTTGAAATAAAACTATATTAATTATTCTTTAATAATTAAGATTTGCTATGGTTGTTTGGTAGTTCTGCAGCTCAGCAGCACATAAAGAAAAGCCGCCACTGATCAATATCATGGCAAGATCAATATCCAATATACATTTCGCCATTTTCTACACACACATAGCCGGTCCTAAGTATTTTGTACCTGCTGCTCTTCTGGCATGTTTATTAGCTCTGCTATTGCCGCCGCATATTCCCCAGGGATCTGGAATCCATACCGGCGTGACACTGTTATGCTTGGTCAGTCTATCGAGTATCTCTTAGTATTGCCACACACGCCTAAAATATAATGGGAGTTAAATTAATAGTATTCTGTTTATAGTTATGTTTTGTTTTAGATTCGCCAGTATACATTTCCTTCCCTCATTTTTTGGATGCGGATTCTAGCTTATCAGAGCCATTCGAAGGACTAACGCCAAATAGAGATAAACATGAATCATATTTTAAAATTCAACAGGTAAGTAAAGTTCGGTTAAACTACAATTAAAAAGCATTCCTTAAGAAGGAAACTGCAGGTTAACATTTATGCATAGGTTTTTTCTTCATTTTAATAAATACAGTATTTTAAATATTATATTATGAATATGTAACAATTAATAATTATTTTGGTTTTTAGAAACTTGGAGTGCCATTAGAAGGCCAAATCAGAGTACAATTGAATCTCAAAGTAGATCAAGCTCCTTACGTCACGTTAGTTAAAGATTTTCCAAGTATAATATTCCCGATTATGTGGCTAGAAGAGGTGAAATGCTTTCTTTTATATGTGTTTATCATATATTTTGCCTATTTGTGCTGATTACAACGAGGTTCTGTTTTTTTAGGGTATAGAGGATTTGACGCCATCTATCAGAAGATGGGTATACTTAGCCACGACATTCGCTGACGTAGCTTGTCCGTTGATGACGTACGGATTCATTTTTATCGGCACTTGCATTATTTTGGGAGTTTTCGTGAACGCATACAAATCTTTGGTGTTTACTAAAGAAACCATTGAAATTGGTAAGCTAATAAATCAAATTTTTATCATTTTATCTGATCTTTTAAATAATTAGAAACCTAACCTAACCCAACCTATATATATATATATATATATATATATATATATATATATATATATATATATATATATATATATATATATATATATATATATATATATATATATATATATATATACGAAACGTTTTCAAAATAGATAGAGTGGCACATCAACTTTGTCTTTCATTTCTCCACCTACAAATTGACCGATATAAGAGCCCACCACTCTGTTGAGTGATCCTTTTATATATATATATATATATATATATATATATATATATATATATATATATATATATATAAATATATATATATAGCTGATCTGGTAGATGAAAAGGGAGTTGAGGTTAATTGGGTATACAGCTGATTAAAAGCCAAGTGCACTCTGTTCAACAGTTCATTATATTTCGCCAATTTTGTTTGTGGTACGATGTGGATTGCAGCTTTTCGGGACATACAACATGTAGTTGTATAATTGACGTTCAAAATTAAAATATTAGAAATGACACTATATATATATATATATATATATATATATATATATATATATATATATAATATATATATATATATATATATATCAGCTGTATACCCAATTAACCTCAACTCCCTTTATATATATATATATATATATATATATATATATATATATACATATATATATATATATACATATATATATATATATATATATATATATATATATATATATAATATATATATAAATATATATAAATATATATATATATATATATATATATATATATATATATATATATATATATATATATATATGTATAGTTATTATGTAGTGTAATGTTAGATAATTTACAAAAATTAAATTTTGCAACTAAAATTTGCAGATTTAAAGAAAAAAATTGTCTAAGGAGAAAGAACCTAAGAAATATGAATCTTAATCATACGAGGAAGAGCTAACTAAAAAGACAGAGTGGATACATATAAAAAACTACAAAAAGCTTAAAATGAATACATAACTGATCACACCACAACAAAAGTAATCTATCAAACAAATAGAAGAAAAACTATAAAACTAAAAACCTAGAAAACTAGAAACTAGAAGTCAGTCCTGTTTGTTTACACCAGTCGTCAACTATATTTAGGGCTGCTTGCATTCCTTAGACACCACCTGGGCAAACCTGCTCCCGACAACGATTGCTATATCGTCAGCATATCCTAGACAGTAAGAGCCTTCTGTGGACAGATGTCTGAGAAGATCATCTACCAAGGTTGCCCAAAGTAGAGGGGACAAAACTCCTCCTTGTGGACAGCCTTCACCTACTTTTGCTTTGATGGTTGCTTTACTCAGAGTGGATACTACTGTTCTATTCTCCAGGAATGCTCTTATCATCTGCATATTACCGCAGATGTGCTTTTCGTCTACTCATAGACCCTATCAAAGAGCTGGTATTAACATTATTAAATGCCCCTTCTATATCTAAAAAAGCGGCCATTGCTATATCTTTGTCTTCCATTGACTTTAAGATAAGCCTATTTAGATCATCCAATGCAGAGTCCGTAGATTTACCAGGGTCGTATACATATTGACGATTGCTTGGAGAATTATCTTTTAGCACTTCGTCTCTGATGTACCTGTCAAAAAGCCTTTCCAGCGGTTTTAATAGAAAAGAAGATAGGCTTATCGGTCTATATGACTTCGATGTTAGGTCTGATACTTTACCTACCTTAGGCAAGTATATGACTTTAACCTTTTGCCATATTTCCGGTACGACCCTTTATGCTAAACTGTCTTTGAGGAGCTTGCATAGGTATGGTACCTCTAATTCCATATGCAACAGTATTGGATGTATGTTTCCATCGTACAGCGAAGAAGTACAGCATTTTCTATTGATAAAATTTGATAAAAGAGTCTCGATAGATCCAATAATCAAATCTAATCAAATCTGTAAATTATGTAATTACGTTTTTTTTTTATTTCAGGAATGAAGAAATTGCAAAGACGAAGCAGTGCATACCTCTACAATTCTTCTAACCGTTTCATCAACCGGCGTGACACCTACACGTTGCTCAAAGTGAACGAAGACGGCGATGAGGAAGTCATCGGCGCCTGACGATGACGTAGCCATCGACAAGTGAACTTGTTGTATATTTTATTTCTGTTTAGTATATCATTGACTTGCCCAATGTACTCCTCGCCTTCCTTACCTAAGTGCCTGGGAGTAGTAGGTATTTATATTATAGATACGGACAGACACGGTGGATTGTGGTGAAGTTTAGTCCATTTTGTGACGTTAACCCAATTATGACATTCTATATCAGCCGAAAATTAGCCAAAATAGGTATTTAATAAAGAATTTTGGCGATATGTATACCTATTGTAACTTTGTTATTTGTAAATAACGATATTGTTGAATGTAAAAGGAAATAAAAAATGTATAAAAAGACCAACAAGACTATCCATTGCTCAATTTTAGAAATGTAATGTGATCAAATAGGTGCAACAAATTGCATTTTGTACATTTTATTATAAAATAAAATATATATTTATATTATATGTTATTTTAATTCCAAAACTTATATGAGCATCATATAAGAAGGTTACCCATCCTATAAAACATTTTATCGACTAACCGGAAAATGTGTATGTTCATATCACGGTTTCAGTGCTCCATTTTCTTTTCTAATACATATAAGGTACCGAAAAAAAAATGTATATACGTTTTCCAAAACATATTCCAATCTTGAAATTAAGAACAATCCATATAAGCCTAAATGGTATTTAGGTCTCTGCTCCAAAAAGTGACAAATCAAAGGAAGAAATTGAAAACTTGTATAACAATGTAGATAATGCGACTGACAAAAAAAGGTGAGATAACGATGATTATGGGTGGCTTTAACGCTAAAACTGATCGTGGTGCTGAAGGAGATAACATACTGTCTCGTAATAAAAGTAGAATTGTTTGTATTGTTGTATTGTGCATAATTGTATCAATCTAGCTCCCCTAATGTTTCTGTAGAAACAATAGGGGAAAACAACAAGAGGAGAAACAACACTTTCTTCAAACAATGTTCTAGAAGGCTATACACTTATATAAATTGTTAGAAATCAAATCGACTTCATTTTGCTCGATAACTGTAATGAAATGCAAAACCTTTATAAACTAGGTTTTAATATACAAGAAATTAGCATTGTTTTGTTTGAATGAATAACATGACAATTACATATGACATTAACTAAAACTAAGATGACAAATGACAAACACAGTTCACAGACCACAGGACATTCACCCCAACTTTATTTTTGAACAAAGTCTTTAAGGTAAGCAGGAGTGTTTCTTTCCCTGGTACCTCTTCTAATAAGACTGTGTTTATTTTCTTCCTCTAAAACACTTTCAATATGACCTTGATCTTCCAGAATGTTAACAGGAGAAATATTTGGATTTTCCTCACATATACTCAATCTAGGGCTTGGTGGATCTTTGATAAACTGTTCATTAGAAACCGCAGATTCCGATCCACTAACACAGTCCAGAGATGCATCTCCTCGTGGTGCAAGTTGTCTTAAGGCTACTGTTGTTTCTTTACCATCTTCACGTCTAACAACAGCATAGTTTGGATTTGCTTCAATTAGCTGTACTTCTTCAACGAGGGGTTCATATTTGGACTGCCTCACATTTTTTTTCATAAATACTTTTCCGGGGGTTATCAACCATGAAGGAAGTGCAGCTCCATTTATAGCTTTTCTGGAATGATGAAACATTCGCTCATGAGGGGTACTGTTTGTAGATGTACACAAAAGAGAACGAATTGAATGAAGAGCTATCTCAACTACTTCTTCCCACTGTTCAGTTTTTAAATGTTTAGATTTTAATGCAAGAGAAATAGTTTTCCATATAATTCCATTATATCTTTCTGTCTGGCCATTTCCTTCAGGATTGTAAGATGTTGTTCGGCTTGTTGGTATTCCTTGTGAATGGAGAAATGTTTTGACTTCTTGAGACATAAATGCCCCCCTTGGTCTGAATGGATATAACTAGGCATTCCAAATAAAGAGAATAAGTTTGTAAGACACTTCACAACAGTTTTCGCTGAAACATCTTGACATGGATATACAAAGGGGAATCGAGAATATTCATCAACAATTGTTAGGATATATTTGTTATGAGATCTAGATGGAAGCGGTCCTTTAAAATCCAGAGACAATCTTTCAAAAGGCGAAGTAGCTTTAATTAATCTCCCTTGAGTTTTCAAAAACTTTGGTTTTATTTCTGCACAGATAGGACAGCGATTGGTCATTTCACGGACTTCATCAATAGTATATGGTAAGTTGCGTGTCTTTATCCAATGGACCATTCTGGTGATTCCTGGATGACACAAGGATTGATGTAGTTCAAATAGACTTGGTCGAGGATTTATTGAACAGCTCACTCGTGAGAAAGTATCTGGCACTACATTCTCAACTCCTGGTCGGTACTGAATATCGAAACTGTAGCATGATAATTCAAGGCGCCATCTGATAATCTTCTCATTTTTTATCTTACTAGTGTGGCGCATATTGAACATAAAAGAGACAGACTTTTGATCAGTTATAAGTCGAAAATGTTTACCTATCAAGAAATGTCTCAATTTTCTAAGAGCTTCCACTATTGCATAAGCCTCTTTTTTCCACTGATGAATGATTTCTTTCACTTTTTGATAAGGTTCTTGAAAAGAAAGCAACAGGTCTTCCTCCTTGGCTAAGAGAAGCAGCAATACAAAAATCTGAAGCATCAGATTCAACGATAAAAGGAATCTTGTCATCAATTGTAGTAACAGCTGAAGAAATAATTTCAGATTTAAGAATTTGGAAAGCTTCAGCTGCTTGTTCTGTTAAAGGAAAAGTATTGCATGTGACTAGTTTTTGTATCTTTTCTGAAAATTGTGGGATAAATTTGGAATAATGTGCAAACATTCCGACAGCTCTCTTTAGTGATTGTGAATCGTTTGGTAAGGGTAACTTCTTTAATGGTTCAAGTCTTTCAGGATCAGGTTTTAAGGTCTGATTTTCTATTTGATAACCCAAAAGTTTGATTGAATTTAGTGTATAAGAACTTTTATTTTGATTTATTGTTAGATTGTATTTCTTCGCTACTTCCATAAATTTATTAAGATTTTCATTATGTTGTTGTTGATTTAATCCACAAACCGTAATGTCATCAAGATATGCATACACACCTTTTAAATGTTCGGATTTAATAATACCATCGATAACCCTTTGAAAACAAGCCACTCCGTTGGTTACCCCAAAAGGAATCCGGCAAAATTGGTATAGTTGGCCGTTGGCTTCAAAAGCAGTGTATATTTTCTCTTCATTTTTAATTGGAATTTGATGGTATGCATTTTTAAGATCAATAGTACTGAAGACAGAATATCTTGCTACTTTTCTAACAATATCTTCAACATCTGGGAGAGGATAGGCATCTAAGTAAGTAAATTTATTAATTGTTTGTGAATAATCTACCACCATTCGCTTTTTGTGTGTTTCACTTTTTGTAATAAGTACTTGTGCACGCCAAGGAGAGTTGCTTTCTTCTATGATTCCATTCGATAGCAGATACTGTATCTCGTCAGATATGAATTTTCTATCTTCAGTTGAAAATTTTCTTGATTTAGTTGCCCTCGGTTTGCAATCATTTGATAGATTGGAGAATAATTTGGGTGGCTCTATATTTAAGTATGCCAAACTACAAATGTTATCTATATGATCAATAACTAAAGGCATTTTTGAGCCAGCAAAAGTGATTTCTAGAGAAGAATGTTGTTTAAGCAAGTCATGACCTATAACTACATCAGCACATAAATCTTGAATTATTGATAATTTGACATTTTTATATGAATGTTCGTTTATTTCTAAATTAACAAAGCAGTGTCCTGAGATAGTCGTTCTGAGTGCTGTTGAAGCCATTATTATGCTTGCATGACTTCTAAATGTTTTCACGTTTATAGACAATGCATAATTCTTACTGATATATGACTCAGAACTACCTGTGTCTATTAAACTTTCAGCTGTATTTCCATTCACCTTTATCTCAGTAACACTTTTAGATAAGCATTGAGGGGCAGCAGCAAGATTTCTAACATTCGAACTAGATGTAGTAGTAGCTAAAACAGCAGCTGATACTGAATTGGGCATCTGAAGCATATACATACCTACATACCTATATAATCCTACATACCTTGGAAAAATGTCCAACTTTCGAGCATTTCTTACAAACTTTGTCTCTAGCAGGGCATAGGCTACGAGGATGCCTTTCAGTTGATCCACAAAAGTAACATTTCCAACTTTTCACAGCAGCAGAAGTATAATTAGTGTGCTCTCTGGTTTCAGAAGAAATTGCATTAATAATTTGTACAGGAGTTGTATAAGCCTCAGAGTGTTTTGAAGCTGACTCCAGAGACTGGGCTTTTACTATGGCATCTTGCAGAGTAATAGTGTTGTTTTCTAGTAAACGTTGTCTTATGTCATTAGAAAGAATGCCATTAATAAAAGAGTCTCTTATATAATCTTCTCTATTTTGGTCTGCAGAAACGGCTAGAAAATTACAGTCTTTGGAAAGCACTTTAAGATGTTGAACGTATTGACCTATATTTTCACCAGTTTGTTGTTTTTTTGTCATTAGGATATGTCTGGCAAAAATTTCATTTTTGGGTTTAACAAAAGCTGCTTCAAGAATACTTTTGGCTTCAGAATACTTTCTACAATCAGAGATGAGTTCATAGATATTGTTGCTCACGTAATTTACCAGTAGTTTGAATTTCTCCTCCTCTGAAACATCAATCACAGAGGAAATAAAGTTTTCAAAGGTAGCTTTCCAATGCATCCATTCTTGAGACGATCTAGGAGAGTTAGGATCAGCATCGAATCTGTCTGGTCGTAGTAGCTTATCCATATTTGATATTTCTTGTATATTAAATTGTAATGAAATGCAAAACCTTTATAAACTAGGTTTTAATATACAAGAAATTAGCATTGTTTTGTTTGAATGAATAACATGACAATTACATATGACATTAACTAAAACTAAGATGACAAATGACAAACACAGTTCACAGACCACAGGACAATAACTACTTTAAGAAGTACATAAACTGTACTAAAACATATCCTGGAGCTGACATTTATAGCGATCACAATCCAGTTTTTAGAATAAAAAGGTTTCTTACAGTTAAGAAACTTAAGTTACTCTTAAGTAAAAAAGTATCAAAAAAATCGACATCTGACAACTGAAGTACCAAGGTTGAGAAAGAATAGGAACGCTAGAGAACTTGATGACAGACGTTGAAGTAACATGGACTGTTCTAAAAACGAAAATAACAAAGATACAAGAAGACGACATCGGGTTCACGACAATGAACAGTAAACAAGAATGGATAACGCAAGAGGTCATGGACCTCATGAACGTGCTAAGAAGCTAAAGAAAACTGTCAAGAAGCTGCCAAGAGAGAAAATCAAATGCCTAAAAATTGTACAACTTCAGGAAAGATAGGCTTCAGGTCCATTTTCTCCTTATTTTTATTTACAGATATCTTGTCTATTTTTTTGTTTTATTTAATATGCAGTTTGTTATCGTTAGATATCGCCATATCAAATAGTGTTTTTGTCTAGTTATTCCATTAACTAGTAAGAGATCTGGTCTATGATGTGCCCATCGAGCAAAAAGACAAAAGAGGGAATGTAAAGGTAGTGGGGGCAAAAATATTGTTAGACAGGAAGTGCCATCTTGAGAGGCCAAATTAAACAAGGAAAGAGAATATTTCCTTGTTTAAGAAATCAAATTTATTTGGGTTATGTTATTGTTTGTCCCAACTGTCACATGAAATCTTATTTATATCGAAGTTTTTTAACAATTGTTTCACATTTTAGAATATTATCGTTAATATTTAATTAAAACTTTCTCGTCTAAGACACATTCTGAAGTTAATAAGTGTCGGAAAATTCAAATTTGGCGCATTCGCATTTCCGGATATGCCCGCCATCAGAGGCCACTTTTTTGGTCTCCTTTTCATAACGATTAGATTTCCTCTTTTGTCTTTTTGCTCGGTGGATGTGCCGCTGGTTCGTCCGTAAGTACAGTAGGATTCCAATATAGCTTGTAGTTCCATTATATTCAGTTGCAACAAATGCCTGGCAGACCCCGGTAAGATAGTTTCTCGGATATATAGTTTTCTTGGATAGTTACCTGAGTTTTGGATAGTTTTGGAACCTTCTGTTGTATAGAAAATCTTTTCTGATATCAAAGAAAAAGTTTGACGTCATATTGTCGACATATTCTTCTTGGCTGACTTTATTGGGATCTCGCCCATGCAGACGTTTGAATATCTAGGTGCGCATTTTTTCTTCCTTATCTCTATCATTCTCCATATTTCTTTTTGTGTTCCGTGGAAATTGCGTTCCATCTGTATTGAGAAAGTCTGCCAGTGTTCCTTTTTTATTTGTCTAACTAAAGTATTTGTTTCATTTCTGATTCGTTTATAGTGGTTGTATGCCTGTTGTGTTTATTGTGTTCTGTATTGTAAAAAGGCTTTCTTCTTTTCTTCGCCTTTTGTCTTCACTTTCTCTTTAAACCATGGTGTTTTCTTTTTTGATATGTTAGTCTTCGTTACATTCCTCTCTCTACGTGATTCTGTTGCTACGTTAATTATGTTATTTTGGAGTTTTTCCCAGCTTTCCTCGATGTTATCGTTTTCTAATATTTCATTTCCAGCGATCTTCTCTGATATTCTTTTCCTGTATAAGTATTCCGTCGATTCCGTATTTACTCCTTCGACTTTGATTTTTGTTTTGTTGGCGCCGCTCTCTGGCGGTGGGAAGTATTTCAGGATTATTCTTATTTTATATAATACTAGGCTATGGTGGCTACCTACATCTGCTGAGTTGAGGCATCTTACGTCGATTATTTTTGATGGATGTATATCTCCGTTGGTTATTATATAATCTATCATAAATCTTTGTCCACGGGTGTTATTAAATGTATATTTGTGTTGGTTTTTGTGTTCAAAAAAATGTGTTGTTTATTCTTAGTTCGTTATTCGTGCAGAAGTTGATCATCAGTTCTCCATTTTCGTTTTTAGCATTCTCGTTATGTTTTTGTTTGATGCCGGGTATTACTTGGTTGCCTAGTATAATATATTAACATAGTAATCAGAAAAGCGCAAATGGCATCCCTGTGTACTCAACAACCAGGCTTAACGCCTATATACTGCGTAGCGTATGGAACCAAAAGCAGAAGAAAGAGAAGTTATTTTAAATTCAATGTGTTCAGAAGATTCAGGTTCATGAATTAAAACATATTTCGGTAATCATAAAATTTTATAAGGAAAATGTATAAATTTTATGTACACATTTTATGTTATTTCATACAGTTACTCAAACTTTCTCACTCTGGTACTTTTTGGCATCTTCGTAAGTGGGAAGATTTTCACTCGTACTGGCCGTTGCTTCAGCGTTGCTTTCAACCGAAGTCAGTTGGTTATCGCAGTGAATTTCAACGGTTTGAATATCTTGTCTTCTTGGCATATTTAACGCATCTCGGTACTTCGGTGGAGCATCACCACTTTTTGAAAGTTCTGCAAAACAAAATAGATAGAAACAAAAAAGGTTAGAAATTATTCTGATCTTGATTGTTTTAAATATAGACTTACTTGTTGAAGAAGCATTTTCCCCACTATTGAACAAAGATACAATATGACTTTGTGTTCTTGGAGAACCGTTTACCGAATTTGAACTTAAAAACATATTCCTGCTCAGATTATTCCGTTGACGTTTTTGTCGACTTTCTTTCAGCATCTTACAAAACCACCAACAGCAATATAAGAATGCACCAACAACAATTATGATTAGCCTATAAAAAAATAAAAGTTAGAAATTATAAAAACAAGTCAAATCTTATAAATGAGATGAATGAAGCTCCGTCAGAAGGCGTTGAACGGAAAGTTAAAGGATCGAGGTGGTGCGGTCTGAGAAAAATACCTCAGAAGGGCAAGCTAGATGGAAAGGTGTTGAGACTGGCAAAAATAAATTATTCTACAGATAGGCGGTAAACGCCATAAGGGTTCAAATACTGCCCCAAAACTGCCCACATAAAGCCACACTTGAATGACTAAGAAGCATAATTTAGGGATTGCAGCCACAGGAGGGTATCTTACTTATAATCGCAGAGGACAGTAACATTTCCCACATTCAGATTCTTCTAACTTATCTTCCTAATAGTTTGAACGACCCAACACTTAAGATTTTCAGATTTTTAGAGGTGCATAAGGATATCCTCGGTACTAAGAATTGGAGAACTCTGAAAAGAAACGACAAAGGTCCTACGATAGAACTGACCCTCTCAGGATTCTATATCACCCTAGGCTCTAAAGAAATATGTATATATGATCAACTATAAATTGTCGCATTTTAGACTATCGTTAATAATTAAAATTTTCTCGAGAAATTAAAACTTTCTCGTCTAGGACACATTCTGAAAAATATTATATAGCTACTGTTAATAAGTGTCGGAAAATTTTAATTTGGCGCATTCGCATTTCCGGATATATCCGCCATCAGAGGCCACTTTTTTGGTCTCCTTTTCATAAGGATTAGATTCCATCTTTTGTTTTTTTTCTCGATGAGTCAGACGAACCTGCATCCGTTGTACGATAACCTTGTTTGTAGCCAAATTGTGTTGCTGGTAGTATACCTTGCCGCCTTATCCAAGTTTCCATTCTCAATTTTAGAATTCTTTCGAATTTTATAAAAATAAAATAGTTATACAGGATATCAAAAAGTCAATTATTGTTAATAATGTTATGAATAAGAACAATAGAACAGGACAAGATAAAAAGGAAAACTCAAGGAGAAAAATAAAGAGAAAATATATCAAAGTTGAGTACTTTTTTAAGCTAATGATAAACAATTTTAAATAAAAACCAGGTCAACAAAAAATGCCAGGGCTTGATAAAAATGATATAAAAAAAATATAAAACAGTATGTTGCTAGAAATTATATAGGTAATTGTGTTGTTAGCTTAGATTAAGATATAGGCGCCGGAGTTAGGCAACACAGATGACAGGGATGTCATGTGAACGTAGCCGAAGCTCGGGGAAGCATGTATGTTTGAGGGTTGAGAATAAACTGATGTTGTGAAGTAACGATTATTATTTGTAACCCCTCTTTGATAACACGACATGGTGGCAGCTGGTGCTTTGTTTTGTTAACATTAAACAAGCAAAGAGTGGTCGAACGTGACAACAGTGCAAATCTTATGCATAACCTATAAATCAGAGGGGACCTAAAATCCTTAAAATGGATGCACCTATCCAAATAAATAAAGAAGTGTTTGCGAACATTTCGGCTCCAAGCGAATTTGATTTTACACAGCCCCAGACATGGCCCCAATGGAAGAAAAGAGTAGAGAGATATATGTCTGTAAGTGGATTTGGACAAAAATCTGACAAGGATAAATTAGACCTACTGTTGTATTTAATGGGAAATGAAGCAGAAGATATTTTACTTCAAAATCAACCAGTGGAGAATGCATCCTTTCAAGATGTAATGCAGATTTTCGACAATCATTTTATTCCCCGAAGAAATACAATCTTTGAGAGATTTCAATTTAATTCAAGGGTACAAAGGCCAGGAGAACCTGTGGGAAACTTTATTTCAAGTCTACATACTCTTGCAGAGCACTGTAGCTATGGAGCTCTTAAAGATGAGTTAATTCGTGACAGGATAGTTATCGGAATAGCTGATAAAAAGGTGAGCGAAAGAATGCAACTAAATGATGGTTTGACACTAGAGAAGGCAATACAAATAGCACGCCAAGCTGAACTTCAAGATAGTCAAAATAGAATTATGAGACAGGAGCAGTCAGTTAGTGCAGTTAAACAGGACTACAGGGAGCGTAGTGATAAAAGACATCAAGGTAAGAGTTTTGCTAAACAAGAAACAACTCATGAGAAAGTTAAGGAAGGTTACAGATGTGGATACTGTGGCATACCTACATGTAAAAATAGGGAGAAATGTCCAGCCAAGTTCTCTGAATGCAGATCTTGTTCACGTAGAGGTCATTGGAGTGTGATGTGCAGGAAGAAAGCTGTCAGAGCTGTTAAGTGTTCAAGGTCCACCAGTAGCAGTAGTACAGATGACGAAGGAAGGGATTCAGTAAATCAAGTGGTACATACAGATTCCTTTATTGGCCAAGTGTACCTAGACAAGAAGGATCGTTGGTATGTAGACATCTTATTGGATGACAAATTTAAGGTACCTTTTTTTGTGGATACAGGAGCAGATGTTAACTGCTTTCCCTATGAAAAATTACCTCCAGAATATGTGGGTAAAATTGTGGCATGTGATGCAATTGGTGCAGCGGACGATCATAAATTGGACACAGTGGGTAAGCTACATATAAAATTTACTTATGACGGTTTTACAAATGATGAAACAATATATTGTATTAGGAAGTTGAGACAACCTATATTAAGCAGAGAATCAATCATTAAGTTTAATGTTCTAAATTTTTCTAATTGTAAGCTTAAACAGGTAAATCAAATCAGTTGCAGTGTTGTTCATTGTAATCAATCTGAGAGTACTAATATGTTTTCAAAATTTAATTTAGAGTCTGTTGCTAAAACATTTCCTGGTATTTTTAGTGATATAGGTGAATTTAAAATGGAAATGTCAATTAGAATTAAGCCAGATGCTAAACCTTATGTACAGAGCGTTCCCAGAACTGTTCCTTTACCTCTGTTACCAAAATTAAGAATTGAAATTGATAGATTGCTAAAATTAGGGATAATTGAACCCATTGAAGATCCTACTTCTTGGGTCAGCCCAATTGTTTGTGTGGACAAGGGAGATTGTGTACGGCTTTGTGGTGACTATACTAAACTTAATGAAAACGTGTTACGGTCACATTTTCCTCTCGGGAAAATATCTCATACACTAGCACAGTTGAAAGGGTCTAAATTCTTCTCAAAATTGGATACCACAAGTGGGTTTTACCAAATAAAATTGAATAAGGAAAGTCAGTTGTTAACAACTTTTATAACACCTTTTGGCAGATTTTTCTTTAAAAGGCTTCCATTTGGTATATCTTGTGCCCCAGAGTATTTTACTATGAGATTTTCAAAAATCTTAACTGGCATTGAAGGCTGTGTTGTCCATATAGATGACATTCTTATTCATGCAAGGACAATAGAGGAACATGACAATATTTTGAACACAGTCCTAACAAAACTTCATAAGGAAGGTATTACACTAAATAAAAACAAATGCTCTATAGCAACAAAAACAGCTAAATACTTGGGTCATATGGTCTCTGAGCAAGGGATATTAATTGATCCAGATAGGGTTAAAGCTATCCGTGATTTTCCTGAACCAAAAAATAAGACTGAGCTGTCAAGATGGCTGGGTATGATTAATTTTGCTGCAAAATACATTCATAATAAATCTGAGATTCTTGAACCATTAACACACTTACTAAAAAAAAATATTAACTTTTTGTGGGGTCCAGCACAAGATAAAGCTTTCAGCACTTTAAAACAAAAGTTAGAGAGCCCTCCAAATCTAGCGTTTTTTGATGCTAATAAAACCATAATTGTTAGTGCAGACTCAAGTTGTTTTGGTATAGGTGCATGTCTATTTCAAGAAAATGTAGATCATACTCGGGAAATAGTGGCTTTTACATCTAGGCTTCTGAACTCAGCTGAAACACGATACGCTCAGATTGAGAAAGAAGCTCTTGCACTTACATGGGCAGCAGAATATTTTTATGATTTTATTTCAGGAGTTCCTAACCTAATTTTTGAAACAGACCATAAACCTTTACTACAAATTCTGCAAACTAAAAATTTAGATGAGTTAACGCCACGTTTGCAAAGATTTCGAATGCGTTTAATGCGATACAAGTATACTGTAATCTACACGCCGGGAAGAAATTTAATTGTAGCAGATACTTTAAGTCGGGCCCCTTTACAAACAGATACGTTAGCTAATAAAGAACTAACTGCTGAAACTGCAGCATATGTGCAGTCAATTATTCATAATTTACCAATTAAAGATTATTTTTTGAATTTAATAAAAACAGAACAAGAAAATGAATATATTTGTAAAAAACTAAAAGAATATTCTTTGTCTTCTTGGCCTGAAAGATCTAAATTGCCATTTGAATTGTTGCCATACTATCAATATAGATATGAAATTTCCTATTCGGAACAATTACTTTTAAAAGGGTCTCGCATAATCATTCCTAAGAGTCTTCAACTCAAGGTGTTGGAATTTATTCATACAGGCCATATGGGAATTGTAAAATGTCGAGATCGTGCCAAACAGAGCGTTTGGTGGCTGGGTTTGTCATCCCAGATTAATAACCTTGTCACACATTGTCCCCAATGTGTTGAACACAGAGTAAATCATAGAGAAACATTTCATAAAGACAATACTGTACAAAGGCCGTGGCAAAAACTGGGGGTTGATTTGTTTAAATGTTATGATAAGTGGTATTTGATTGCCACTGACTACTTTTCACATTGGTTTGAATTTTTTACTTTAACCAATATGACAGAAGATGCCATTATTCCTAAGCTTAAAGATATTTTCTCTCGTTATGGTATCCCAGAGGAAGTTAGATCCGACTGTGGTACTCAATTTTCATCAAAATTTATAAAGTTTTCAAAAGAATATAATTTTGTTCATACGACGAGCAGTCCGCACTGGCCTCAGAGCAACGGTGGAGTGGAACGCACTGTACAAATTGCAAAAAGATTAATTCAGAAAAATAAAAAAGAGGACCTAAGTTTGGCATTGTTAGCATATAGATGTACACCCCTAGAATGTGGTGTTTCACCTTCTGAATTATTAATGAATAGAAAATTAAGATCTAACTTACCCCAGCTTCCAAGCTTATTAAACTTTTCAAAAGAACCAAACACTAAAAATAAAAAGAATGAAATAAAGGATAAACAAGTGAAAAACTACAATAAGCGACACAATGCCAAGGATTTAGATCCTCTTAAGGTTGGTGATTCTGTGTGGGTGGTTGATATCAGGAAATATGGGCGAGTTGTTGCGATCTGTCAGGAACCCAGGTCATATATAATTGAAACTGAAACCGGGAAATTTAGAAGAAATAGATGGCATTTGATTCATGCACCCTACTGTTTCCCTGTATTGAGCACCCAACCAGAATCCTCAAATGATTATGTTCCGCCAATTTCTAGTAACACAAAGCTAATGCCTTGCTCTAATCAAAGCAATGGTGACATACAGGGTAAAATAATGGAGGAAAGTAGTAGGGGGGAACCCAGTGTATTTCAGGACAAAATCGAACAAAGTGGAAATCATGTTTTACCTCCATCGGGTCAGGATAAAAGCGATAGTGTATCGGACTTTGAGTGCGTAAAGCCTAGCAGGCCAAAAAGACTTGTGAAGAAACCGGTTCATTTAACAGATTATGTTTGTAGTAGTTTAAGTTAGTTTAGGTATAAGATCATTAATGACACAGGGATCTTTTATAAAAAAAAGGAGATGTGTTGTTAGCTTAGATTAAGATATAGGCGCCGGAGTTAGGCAACACAGATGACAGGGATGTCATGTGAACGTAGCCGAAGCTCGGGGAAGCATGTATGTTTGAGGGTTGAGAATAAACTGATGTTGTGAAGTAACGATTATTATTTGTAACCCCTCTTTGATAACACGACAGTAATATTTACTGGAAAAGTGGAACATGAGAAGCATGCATGCAGGAAAAACATAGAACTAGATAACTTGCTTGACATATTATTAATTCCTGAAACCAACAAGGAAAAAAGGAGCGAGGAGGAAAATGGGCATAAAAACCATATGACTAACGACAAAATCGCTATGTCTGTTATATGGTGTTCATCTCCCTAATACCCATAAAGTCAAACAAAAATCAAAATCATTTTTACTTACCAAAAAGACCATGATTTAAATTGTTTATAAACAAATTGAGTACAACATCCAGTAAGACAACATTGTTCTGTAGCGTAACAAACGTACTGGATCTGTGAATTTAGAGATGGGCATAATTTCCAACCGGGATCTGGCTAAAAAAACAAGTTTCAGAGTTTTTCATATTTTAGTTCTAAGAAAAAAACGGCTTACGAACGAGGTATTCATTTTGTAAACATCCTTAAAATTTCGTAAAAATGACGTTTTAAAAGTAAGTGGAACATCAAAAAATTTGTCAAATATTATTTATCTAGGCTGAGAAAAACCACGGCAAATACGATTTCTGTCACTACAAAACTGACACAGCAGTGAATACACTCATCATAATAAATAAAAATAAAAATGTTTATTGTTTATATAAATATGTTAAACAATCCAAATTCAATAAAATAATAATATCTATTATGTTTCATCTGTTCTTCTTGGCTATTGTACTGCATCTACACTGATTGCTGTCTGGACCACACGCACTTCGGGTACCCAGTTTGTACCCATTCAGAAACTGATGGCAATGTATTATTAAAACATTATATTATATATAATGTTTTTATAATATAGTGCCATCAGTTTCTGAATACTCGCATGTAAAGCTACAAAGACGTGCATTGATAACATGTTTACAAACTGTGAACTTTATGTAGCAGAAGTATTAGATACTCATATTTCTGATCATCTTGGTCAAAAAATAACTTTCAGTATTAATGTAAACAAAAAAGCAAATATAAAAATTAGGAAAACAATTTTTGACTCCCACAGTAAAGACAATTTTAGGCAAATGCTGCAAGATGAAGACTGGGAGGAGCTTTTTTCAGTACCAAATTGGGATATAGAAAAGCAATGGGTGGTATTTATGAAAATATTTTCCTGGTTATTTGACCATTGCTTTCCAGAAAAAAATATAAATAAACATAAAAAACGTATCAAATACTATAATACAAATGAAATAAATCAATATAAAAGTCGCTTAGACCTTTTGCTAATGTTAAGTAGAGTAGATGACAATTACAAAGATGAGTAGGTACAAACAAACAAGACGTCAGTATAATAAAATGCTTGTGGATTCCCGAAAAATGCAGTATGGGCAAGAAATATACCTATAATAGTCAAAATAAGTCAAAAAGTCTATGGAAAATCGTTAAAGAAATCACACAGGTAAATTCTATCGATAATAATGTAGCTATACTAGGAGATCCAGTCATGGTAAGTAATAATTTTAATGAATATTTTTGCTGCCATTTTTGATTTTATAATAAAGATAAATGAGGGTTATGAAAACAAAGATATATCCATGGGCATATTTTTAGATTTATCGAAAGCATTTGATACTTTAAATCACAAAATACTAATTGAAAAGCTTTACAGATATGGTATTAGAGGGCCAGGTTATAATTGGATAAAATCATACCTATCAAACAGAAAACAGAAAGTAAAATTTGAGTATGAGGGAAGACATTGCTTCTCTGATGAAGGTCTTATTTCGATGGGAATTCCTCAGGGAAGTATTATATGGGTCCTCTTCTCTTTGTTTTTTATGTAAATTATTAAGCTTTAGACATAACAGATAACAATCAGAATACTAAAATAAATGACGGTTGCTTTTCGATTTAATTTGAGTCTCTTACCACTCCCTGACACGTGTTTCTGGGTCTACCCGTCATCAGAAGGAGTTTGTAAGAAGACTCAAACCAAATCCAAACGCACCGACTACTAAGGCAATTATAGTAAAAATAATTACCAGAGTATGCTCAGAATACTCTTATTGTGAAATTTGCCGATGATACTAACATTTTAACTATAGGGTCATCATTATAGGGAATAATTTATTGAATATCGCTAATAATAGATTAGATAAAGCACAGAGATGGCTCAATATGAATAAACTCATACTGAACAGAGAAAAAACAAATTATATCTGTTTTGTCACTAAAACAAATAATAGTACCTTACCAGAAACTGTCTCAATTCAATCGCAAATGGTTACTCTAAACCAAAGCACAAAATTTCTGGGGGTACATATTGACCAAAATTTAGATTTTGGAGTGTACCTATATAAATGAGATCTGTAACAGGTTAGCATCTATCTGCTACTCTTTCAGAATAACAGCAAATTATTTGGACGAAAAATGTAAACGAGTTGTATATTTTTCAAATTTTCATTCTGTAATGCGATTTGGAATAGTTTTCTGGGGGAGAAGTGGTAACGCTGAACAGGTTTTTATATTACAAAAAAGAGCAATCAGAACTCTACTTAACTTGAGATACAGAGATTCATGTAGAGGTAATTTCAAAAAGCTAAACATACTAACAATGGCTGCTGGAACATACATATATAAATGCTTACTTTTCATTTTTTAAAATAGACATAAATTCTTGAAACACATAACAAACCATAATACTAATACACGAAACAATTTCATAAACTATAATATACCAATACATAGACTAACAGCATCTGAGAAAACCACAGAATATGCCTGTATTAAATTCTTTAATAAACTGCCTTACAGCATCAAAATAGAAACTGATGTAAATAAATATAGAAAGTCTGTTCAACAATTGCTCATACACCTTGAACCATACAAAGTGGAAGAATACCTTCAAGCTGACCTGTAGGCAGACTAAGGGCTCTTACCTGAATCTAAATGTCACTGTTATTATCATTATGTTTTAATATTACTTTTATGTTAAGTGTAGGTTGTTACAGCAACCATTATAAATTTTAACTGACGCCATTCTCTCTATTCACAATTTATAATATGTAACTTGTGAATGCTGAGAATAAAGCTTTTTTCTATTATATTCTAACCTTTTTATTGCCTTTGTAACTTCTTCTGTTGATATATTATTTTTCTCCCTCTAATCGTCTACGTCTTCACTGTGGTCATTTATGTCAATCCTTTCTTGGTTGCTTCTATTTAATTTTTTAGCAAAAATCTCCGCCTATCTCTCCACTATTTGATCTGGCTCAATGATAATTTCGGCTTACTTACTTTTTATTATGGTTATTCTAGGTTTAAATTCTTTTCTGTTGTGGTTCACATTTTTATAAAATTTTCGCTCCTCGCTTTGTGAATTGAGTCTTTCTATTTTTTTATTTGGTCTTGTTTGTGTTCAAATTTTCTAACTATCTCAGTGTTTCGTAGTCTGTCCACCTCGAATTTATCTTCTTTGCTTCCTTTACCTTTTTTGCGTTAGAGATTCGTGCCCTTAGTTTAGCCCGGACTAGGTAGTGATCGGAGTCAATATTTGCTCTATGTCTGGTATGTACATTTATAACATCGCTGTAATGTCTAGCGTCCACAACAACATAGTCAATTTGATTGATTGTGTTACCATCTGGGCTAACTCTAGTGCCTTTGTGTATATTTTTGAGCTCAAAGCATGCGCACCTATAAAGTCATCTATAAAGGCACCATTCAGTATAAAAGTTCGAATTAAATTTAATAAAACAACTAAAAAAAATTAATAACTTTATTAAATATACATAATACATAAAATTACAAATCTCTAAATTTTATTTGTATTCTTTGTTGCATATCCTTTAACTTCATGCAAATTGGTATTTTTAAATTTTACCAAAATGTCCCCTTTGATCAAATGTTTATATGATTTCTTAGCTCCCACTTTATTTAGCATATAAAACGGTGACTTAGTTTCCATATTTGCATATTTGAACTTCAACTTTGTCCCTTCTGGTAACTTTTCATTTTCCCCATGTGGATTACCCACTTCACCTATCATCAAATCATCTTCTGTAATTACCTTTGTTTTTTCTTCGTTTATATCATTTTCAATCTCTGCTTGAAAGTCATCCAACGTCCTTGCTATTGTATCAACATTTTCATCCAAACTTGTTTTTTGTTTATCAAAATTGAAGTTATCTAAACCTTTCTTTTTCTTTTTTCCCTTTTTAGACATTTCTTTTAATTCTTCGTTATTTGGGATAATAAACTCTTGTGTCACATCGCTAAACCTTACACTTCTACTGCTCTTTACACTTTCCACCCTACTAACAGAACCTACAGAACTAACAGTTTTGGTTTCTTCCTTTCTCACTGGAGTAGACACAACATTTAGCATAAGATCGCCTTCACCTAAATCAAGACTTTCTTCTGCTTTTGGAGTATTAAGATCAATAGCAGGATTTATTACACCAGATTCTCCGTTTTTTACCTTCTTTTTTTTCTTTGGTTTTACCTCATATGGATTTACACTATCGATGGGAGTTTCTGTATTATCTACAAAACTAGGATTGTCAATAGCTAACTGTTTATCTTTCTTTTTCTTTTTTTTCTTATTTAGTTTTACTTCATAAGGATTTTCTTCTATTTGAGATAAATTTATTGAATCTTCTTGTGTATCATCAAAATTTGGATTGTCAATTTCCAGCTTTTTCGACTTTTTTTTCTTTTTTACCTTCACTTCATAAGGATTTTCTTCAATTTCAACACAGTTTAGAGTGTCTTTATCTTCAGTTGCATCAAAGTTTGGATTATCTATTGCAATTTCTACATTTGTACTAATTGTTTCATCTTTATTACCTCTATTTTTCTTCTTTTTCTTTTCTTTTTTTAATTTCTTTGTTGATACTTCATAGGGATTGTTTTCAATATATGCTGCCTCAGTACTTTCATCTATTTCACAAAATGTAGGATTATTAAACTCACAAACATCATTCTTATTCTTTTTCCTTTTCGATTTGTTAACACTTTCTACAGATTCATCATGTAATTGTTCTGTGTTAGTAGATAAATTATTTTTCTTTTTGCCCTTTTGCTTACTATTTGAATCATTCATACTGCTATCTATTTCGGTAATACTCTCCTCAATTACATCCAAAGAATGTCTTTGTATTTTTACAGGTGTGCCCATGGGAGCAAAGGCTGGATTTGCAATACCTTCCAAATGTTGTTCAACCTTCTTAGATTTATTTGTTATGACTTCACCAGAACCTTCAACAGTCTCTATTGAGTTATTCTTTTTATTTTTCTTCTTTTTTCTTGAGCTTCCCTCTAAATTATCTACAGAACATCCTAAATTATTTTTATTTTTACTTTTTTTCACATTAAAACTTTCATCAATTTCATTTGAAACTTCTTCAATGGGGTTTAAAGAATGTCTTTTAACCTTTACTGGTGTGCCCATGGGATTAAAACTGGGATTTGATATGCCAACTACTAAACTTTCTTCACTATTCTGTTTATCCTTTTTGGACTTCTTTTTAGGAGACAGTACCACCTCTTCCTCTTCCTCAGCTGATCTTTTGACAGGTGTTTCAGAAACATATGATACGAAAGACATTTTTGAAGCTTCTTTCTTAGGTTTAGAGCTTGCAGACGAACTAAATCCTAAACCAAATGAAGGTCTCATCTCACTTTCGGATTCAGAATTATTTTCTTCTTTGCCATTAAAACCAAAACCAAAAGATGGTCTACTTTCAGTCTCTGATTCAGCTTCTGATTGTTTCTGTAGAACTCCATTGTTACCAACAACATAACCATTAGATTTTCCTAAATTTGGCAATTTCTTTTTAAAGTAATCTCTCATTGAACCAGCATTTATTAGCATATCATTACTGTTCTCATTTTCCTTTGAATCACAATATTCTTCTTTTACCTCAACTTCTTTTTTTGGCTCCTTAAGTGACTTTTTTCCAAATATGTTAGCTAAGTCTTTCTCAGAGTATTGGCTCAAATCTTTGCCTCTTGTAAACTTCTTATAATGCACTCTGGCTCTTGATGTTTGTGATTTTTGTTCCAGTGAAATAACCTTTTTCTCAAAATTTGTTTCTTCGCCTGTTAATGACTCTAAAAGGGCACTAAAATGGGTTTCGTGCTCTGTCCATTGATCGTTTGATTCTTTGTATCCCATACCTAAAAAATATATGAATGTAACTATAAAGTACAATACATTTTACTATTTAACTCACCTTTACTGTCATTTTTATACGATATCTTTATATGTTCTTTAATGCCATCTTCTTTTGCTCCTAAACCTTTTCCAGATTGCCAACCCATTTTTTCTAACAGTTTTTGACCAAATTTGTTTGCATCTACAATAAACACAAACAATTTTAATCTTAAAAAGTATTGCTCTCTCTGTCTACCAATTATTATAAAGGTGGTTGATATCAATTAATTGCATTTAAACTTACCTTGGGACCATTCTTTTCCTCTAGGGTTCAGAGACCACTTTTGTTTGCGTTTTCTTTCAGCTAACATCGACATCTTAAATTGTGTTACGTGTTTCTTAAATAAATACTTTTTGTTCCCTCAATCAGAGTTTGTATTCTATATTATGGTTTATTATTATTATTTAAAAAGCATATTTAACGGTTAGGTTAACAGATGCACATGGCCCTCCTCAGGTTGTCATTGTAAAAGAAATCACCTTGAAATTAGATAACCAACATAACACTTTTTCTACACTATGGAATTTCAGCCATTTGATTAATGATTAGGAGTAAATAAAATGCTTTCTTTTATAAATTAATATCAAGTTTTTAAGTCTATCTTTCAAGTAATTTTTCTCTATATTTGCGGCGTTAGTTAAAAAGAATATAATAAAAATCGAAAAAAACCTCGTTTGCCCTACAGTTGTGTCATTGAGAATTTTAGATGAATGTAAAAGAAGAAGAAATTTATTGTCACATACGTCATTGAATTGTCAAAAGAAACATGACAGAAGCCTCGCCTCTATTAGTTCTGGCAGCAATTTGTTAAAAAAATAATATTTGTACAATTTAGTTAGTTGAAGTGGGACATTATCTTTATTATTGTTTAAAAATAGTGAAATTTCATCCTATTGGTGTAAAAAAGGCTGTTAACGTTTGAAAAGTTTGCCTTTTCGAGTTGAAAATTCTATTGGTAAGTAAACATCTTGCTATTTTTATTTACTGTAAATATTATGTAGGTCTTGGATATGTTTGGTATGCATAGTTAAACATTTAATTAGGAACCAGGTCAATTAAAAACATTTTAAAAACAGGAGGACGGTTGCACAGATTTTTTTCAAAAAATTGCATTGACTTGTGGGATTTCACACATGAATCATTATGAATTTTAAATTACGATGATTACCAAACGTCGCGGAATAATTAGGTGTGTGAGGAATTTTAGTACCTTGGTTCTATCATTAACTTATGTAAGCGGCTTCTATTGTTTAATTGGCAAATTAATTATGTTTTTGAATTAAGCAATAGTGATTAGGTTTTTATAGGAAGAAAAACTATTCATAAATACATTTACTTTTTCGTACTTCTGTTTTTTAATATAGTTGCTTCATATTAAGCATTTTCCACTATGATAGGCATAAATAATACTTGATTTTAGATTTATAATAATCATGACTACCTGTAAAGTAATAATTACAAGCCATTCAGTAGGTATACAATTTTAGTGGTTAAGTATAGTTTGATAATGAATCTTTTTTATTTAATAAGAATTGTGTAGTGATAGGATATCAGTAGATTAAAAAAATGTAAACAATACATTAATGCATATAGTTTTACAATTATGGCCAAAATTCTATTAAATAAATTCTAAGTGTTAAACTTGTACATAATAAATTGAACAAATAAAATAAATAAACCAAAAAAGAAAAACAAATCATTCCAATGATAAAAAAGTTGAAAACTATTAAGAAAAGATAAAAACATAAATAAAAAACAAAAATAAATATTAGAAAAATAAATAAAAATAAATTCACAAGGAACAAGTTGTATACTTTTTCCAAAGTCAATTTTCCAAGTGGCGGCTTTTGAGCTTCTTTGATGCAAATGCCGACCATTGGCGTGGAAATTAAGAAAAGGGATCAGTTCATCAAACGCATATTTCAAGAAAAATCATAATTTTTATTAATTTTTACATAATTATATTCAGGAAAATTTTTTTTACAGAACAATTTTTTAAACAAATTCAAAATATCACCTTTTGTGCTCCAAAAAATATTTTTTAGGTTTTTGGGTGACTCTAAAATAAGATCTATGTCATTTTTTCTCAAAAGTTAATAGTTTTGGAGATATAGGCGATTTAAAATCCGAAAAATGCGATACCTAATATGCATTTTCGAGGCTTGAAAAATATGTAAATGAGTATTTTTGAGATTCAAGAGTATTTAAACTAAAGTCTCGACATTGATTTTGGTGAGAAATTGGGGTAATATTTTCCGTAGCAGAAAAAGGAGATCTTTTGAATTTGAATTGTTTCCAGCAAAAATGTCCGCACCCTTCAACCTTCGATTTGTTTAAACGCGGTATTTTTGAATAGGAATCTTCAAAGGACAGAATCAGTTTTTTTTTTCAAATGTGAGCGGGCTCACAACATCTAATAAATAACAAATTAATTCTTTCAAATTAAAGCTTGTTAATTTTAGTGATTTATAAGAATATTGGACTTATTATTTAGTTTTTACATAAACCATAATATTTTTTTACAATTATCTGTAAATAATGGTTCATTCTGTCAGAAAATTTTAAAAGATTGTCTATCCAGCAAGGACAGAAAATCTCAAAATATTGTCTGTCCAGCAAGGACCACGAGGAGGTATGAGCCTTCCTTGCCAGGAAAGGAAAGGGTTAGGTATGTTAGTAAGAATATAAAGTTAGTTTTTTTTTTCATTTTGTTTTTATTATTTTTTTTTTTTTTGTTTTTATATTTTTTTTTGTTTTTTGTTTTTTTTTGTTCTGACTCTATACAGTGTGTCGCATTTAAGATGAAGATACCCCTATATTTCGGCTATTAGAATAAATACCAATTTGAAATTTTGCACAGTCATACAGGTTGTCAATTCACATTTTTTAAGATAATCAACTGAAATTTAATTTTTAAACACGGCCTACTGTTAATGCACAAACAGGGTGAATCTTCAATATTTTGCTTCGAGTTAGAGATATCGGAAAAAGTTATTTGGAAAAGATGTTCCAAATATTATTATAACCCCACATAACAAAGTTTTATGTCAAAATTCGCACTTTTACTTTTTTCAATAATTGAAGAGCTTATTTCCAGTGTCTTAAATCCAAAATTTCGATTTTTTTAATTTTCTTTTTTTAAACTTTATAGATTTCTTCAAGTCTAAAATAAAGTTATATGTACCAAAACAACTTCTTATTTGCCATTTAAAAGTGCATATGAAAATTGTAAAATTGTATAATTTGTATGTTAAATTTGTATGAAAATCTGTAATTTCATGGATTTCATTATATGGATTTAAGACACTTTGGAAATAAGCTCTTCAATTGTAGTCAGGATTCTAAAACGGACAGTTGGCTGTCCCGAGATGCATCTTTAGACAGCCAATTGTAGATTTAGGATCGAGATTACAAATAATACTGAAAAACTAAAATTGCGAATTTTTGTCATGAATTTTGGAATGTGCGGTTACAATAAGTGGAATAACTTTTCCAAATAAGTTTTTCCGATTTCTCTAACGCGAAGCAAAATATCGAAAATTTACCCTGTTTGTGGATTCGCAGTAAGCCGCGTTTAAAATTTAAATTTCAGATAACTAACTATCTTAAAAATATGTGCACTATCAACATGTATGACTGCAAAATTTCTAATCTGTATGTATTTTGATAGCTGATATATAGAGGTGTCTTCATCTTAAATGCGACACACTGTATAATAATGAATACTAGTGTTCAAGATGCATCGCGATAGCTGTAAAGAAATTAATTAGAAGGACTAAAAAGAATCGTCAGAGTCTTCTGAAGTCGAATCGTTCCCAGGTTGTATAACTATTGGTGCTATTGCCGGTAAAACAGGATATTCATTTTCTATTTTTACAACATGAGCTTCGCAACTTTTCCACACATCGCTATTAATGCCACTAATTACTTCTCGAATATTCTCAATGGCCACTGCGCTTAATGTTGGTGACTGATTATATTTTCGCAATCGTTTTTTTACGGTACCCCAAACCATTTCAATTGGATTAAAAATGCAATAGTATGGAGGTAATCGCAAAAGAGTATGGCCGTGCCTGCTGCAAATGGTGTCAATAACGTATTCGTTTTTGAAATTCCGACTTTTGATCATTCTAATTAATTCTTTTTTTACTGGAATCTTTTTAGGAACAGTGATATTTTTAAGTTCCATAAATTTTAAAATTTCGTCCTTTTTCGTGTTATTATTAGGTATTTTATTTAATATGCGGGAATGATACGACGCATTATCCATAACAATCACTGAATTCGGCGGAATATTGGGCAAGAGTTGTTCAACAAACCACTTTTCAAATAAATCGGCTGTCATATCTTCGTGATAATCGGCAGAAGACTTTGTTATATTTTTGGCCGACAATAGCAATGCATTAGATACAAAACCATCTTTGCTTCCGGCATGAAGAATAATAACACGTTTTCCTCGTGAACAGGGTGTATTTAATGCACACTTGTTTGTGTTGTCAACCCAGCCGTACTTGACAACATCATGCGTATCGAACCAGGTTTCATCTAAATAGATTATGTTTCTGTTTGAATTACGATACTGTTTTATTTTACTCAAATACTCTCGTCGAAGTTCAACAATACGCCGAGATTCCATTATTACCATTCGATTATCTAATTTCTTATATTTAAATCCACAACTTATCAAAATCTCGCGCAGTGTTTCCAAAGATGTATAATTATATTCAGGGAAATCTCTCAATTTTTCACGAATCAGTTCTAAAGTAGGCACTCTATTTTCTTTGTAAAAATTGTAAACTGTTCGCTGAATAACGTCTTTTGCAGCAGTGTCAATCCTACCCAATTTTTTATTTGGTCGCTTTCGTTTTAAGGAATGATCTGTAACAATGCCTAATTTAATAATTGTATATATCGTCTTATACCCGATTTTTGTTAATACATGAATTCTCGAAACAATTGCATTATCAGCCATCAAAATATTTTCTTTTTTCAAACACTCATACATATTTAAAACTATTCTTTGGGATTGTACGTGCAAATCTTTATTTTTTAATTCGGGGCTGTCATTAACATAATTGTCATTATCTATTGATAACACAGAAGTTGATGCATCTTGATCATTCGTATCAAATGGTCTCCAAAATGCCATCCTAGAAAAATATAATATTACTTACCTTATTATCCGCCTCTGATAGCTGCTTGCAAAATGAACTATTTAGGGTGTCATATAGCCAGACAAACAGGTGTTCCATCAAGATTTATTGCGATGCGCTTCGCTGTTGCCAAGTTTAAAATTATTGAATGTAACTTTAATACCATAATTAATATATCTGCAATTTTTCATGTTTCCAGGTAAGGTATAAAATCAATAAAATTTGGAAAAAAATAATACAATTCTTGAAACCGTTTTTCAGAACTTGGATTCTTAAAAGTTGTCTGATTTCTTAAAAGTCGATCATTATA